ATGAGTACGATAACCCCCCCCCCGCGCCCCAGCTAATCTATACCATTCTTCACCCCAACATGGATGCTTGATGCCGAGAGAGAAATGCCAGGCCTCAATCGTGGATAAATCTTGTAACCCCATCGTAGATTCAGCCTTGAGGCAGAAAAGACTTGGTACTCGAATCTTAGGTACCTACTTTCTTGTCAATAAACGTGTAACTGTTGCAACAGTTTATGGGTCAATGGGGTTTATCGAGTGAGAATTGGCTTCAGAAATCGGGAAATCGAACAACTGTCAAGGGTGGGAATACGACAGTGGTTACATATGCAGAGTAAAACAAACTCGTGGAATACACAATCTAGAGATAGATACATAACGGTTATGCCAGAAAGTCTATTGCGAGTGCTCTCGAGAACCAATCCTAAACAATAAACTCCAATACGATTGCTAGTTTTATGACTCCAGGGTAATGCGATTGCGGCTATAGCTCGAGCCACAGTTTTCAGCCACTTCCGCTACGACAGATCGTACCTAGGGAAGAGTAAATCGAATTACGGCGAGGAAAAGCCAGACTGTGATCCGAGAAGAGAGAAAGCCCTGATTGATACGTTACCTGCCTCCGCTCCTAGCATCAAAATACCTACTTAACCTCCATATGCGAACATGGAAGCCCAGACGAATTTTGCCTACCCGACGACAGCTGGAGGTTAGCACCGTCTCGTAGCCACAGCGCCTCCTGTGAAAAGAATGCGCTGAGGTTCCCCCCGCGACCCTGCCCGCTATGCCCTGGCTACCTGGCCAGTAGTCGATGGCCCGTTTCCCGTATCTGGACCTGACGCAGCTCCGTTCGACTTCAACTCCACTCTATCTCCACTGTCCTATAACTCAACTCGTCTCCATCCTCCATTCAGCCTTTCAATACCCCAATTCTATCGTCTATTCCACACTCCGACTCGGTCTGTCTCTTGTACTCGACTCCAGCTGTAGATACATTGACCTTGAAGTTCTCTCCGTAACTTTCGTTTCGTGCCCTGCCCATTCTTCCAGCTCACCAGCAACCTCCCTGTTGGACCGGATACCCCCTCGTCATGCGCCGCTGACCGAAATCATGTTTTCGAACTTGACCAACATCGTCCAAAAAGCCCAGCAGCTAATCGATCCTACTCAGGGGCTTAACCTGTCCAGCTCCGATCGCAATCCTTCAAAGTCATCGTTGTTCCAGAGCCAGTTTCGCTTGCCTGCCTCTCAAACACCACTCTACGAGATCAACGCTGAGCTTACTATCCCGCCTTCGAACGCGACACACGGCGATAAAGATCACGACCGAGGATGGCATTATGCTGGAAAGCTACACCTGTCAGAGCACTATATGTGCTTCTCGACAACACCCACTAGCTTCGTGCAATCTGCCAGTCTTTCGACATCAACGGCTTTCACGGGCCAGACACACGGAGGAGGTCCTAGCGGCAATGGTTTCACCTTTCCTTTATGTGCCATACGAAGAGTTGAGCGCTTGAATAGTCAGAATTTCCAGGTATGAGGTGCAAGCGGGTTAGGAGATCATGTGTGCTATCAATTCTGACATTGCTTGGTTATAGTTCGCCCTAGCACTGACTACATGGAATGGCCTTCTCGCCGAGACCCCCAAAGACAAGAAGGATCCTCGAGAACAGCGCATCACAATTCATCTTGCCGGCACCAGACAATCCTGTGAACGCTTCTGCGATGGGCTCAAAAAGGGTCTCAGAGCAGGTGTCGGTAACGTAGCCAAGCTGCGTCGGGTTGCTGCTGAGTGTTACTCTGAACACCTTCTAAGAACTGAAGATAAGAAGAACGACCCTCCGCCGGACGCTGGCTTGGGAATGCTCTTCCGGTATCCTGGAGACCCGAAGAAGTTGCGCGACAGAGCAAAGATGCGCCTGTGGGCTGAGTATCTGCGCGACAATGGCAGGAACTTTACATTGATCCGACAACCAACTTTCCACAAACTTATTCGCGTCGGTCTGCCCAACCGGCTCAGGGGTGAAATCTGGGAGCTCACTTCCGGTTCGATATATTTACGCCTGGAGAACCCAGCACTTTACACTGATACACTGGCTAAGTTTGAGGGCCAGGAATCACTTGCCATTGACGAGATCGAAAAGGACCTCAACCGAAGTCTTCCAGAGTACCCTGGCTTCCAAAGTGAAGATGGAATTAACCGACTTCGCCGAGTTTTAACTGCTTATAGCTGGGTCAACGCCGATGTTGGGTATTGCCAAGCCATGAATATCGTTGTGGCCGCACTGTTGATTTACATGTCTGAGGCTCAAGCTTTCTTCTTACTCTCGACGCTCTGCGACAGGCTCGTACCCGGGTATTATTCTACGACCATGTACGGTACACTACTTGACCAGAAAGTATTCGAATCGCTGGTTGAGAGAACGATGCCTATTCTCTGGGACCACCTCGTCAAGAGCGACGTGCAGCTGTCGGTTGTCTCGCTTCCTTGGTTCCTTTCACTATACATAAACTCAATGCCCTTGGTATTTGCTTTCCGTGTTCTCGATGTCTTTTTCGTGGAAGGACCGAAGGTATTGTTTCAAGTCGGACTGGCAATTCTACGAATCAACGGCGAGGAACTACTCGACGCAACAGATGATGGGGCTTTCATCTCGGTACTGAAGTCCTACTTCTCCCGCTTGGACGAGTCAGCCCATCCAAGGTCAGAGAATCCTAAGCTGCGTGCAGTGACGCGATTCCAGGAACTCATGGTAGTGGCTTTCAAAGAGTTTGCAGGGATTACTCACAGTAGCATTACGGAACTGCGCTTGAAGAACAAAGATGCTGTTCTTAGTAACATTGAGAACTTTGCTAAGAGGACTGCAATTCGCAACTTAGGCCCAGAAAGCAAGCTGATGAGTACCGACGAGCTCGGGGCTTTGTATGATCGATTTTACAGCATTCTGTACGAACGTCAGCAGAGAGACCACATGATCCAACAAGAGAAGATGCGACGGGCCAAGGCAAGCAGAATGCGTGCGTCCGAAATATTCACAACGCATCATAACGAGGTCGAGAGGGGGCGTGTAGGCCTAGGGCCAAGTACAAGTCTTATGGATTACGACGCGTTTCGTGAATTTCTTGCCAGCATGTCGAAATGGGCTATTTCGGATTCACCAGGTGCCACCAAGTATGGAAATTACGAAGAACGGCAAACCAAGTTCAATAGCGCCAGACGCGCATCCGACATGTTGTCTCCTTGGGGTACGGGGCCCGAGCCTGCCGAACACGAATTCTTACGTCGACTTTTCAAGAAGTGGGATGTCGATGACAGCTCTGCATTGACTTTGCAGAATGTTGTCACGGGCTTGGCGCAGATCAAAGGCAAGCGGGATATAATGGGCACAATCACGTATTTCTTCGAATTATACGACGACGATGACGATGGCAAAGTTGATCGTGAGGGGATTTTGCGTATATCTGAGGCCTTGTTGTTCCTATCGCGCCGAGGTCTTGAGGGTACCCTGAGCCCCAGTGCCAACAGCACTATGGAGAGTGATGCAGCAAGTGGTCAGGAATCGCAGGCTGGCCTACCCTCTGGTGTCTCGACTAATGAGCGATTCCTGGGAAGTGTGAGCGCCTTTATAAGACGATGCTTTGAGTACGCCGACCCTGCAGGTGGACACAAAGACCAAGTCCCCACTACACCAGATGATGAAACCTCAAAAGGCGGTGCCTTTGCGATAGGCGACGACGACGACGACGACGACGACGACGATGACGATGACGATGACGATGACGAGGAAGATCTCTTGGGTCTTGAATCCCCTACCAACTCACCAACTAAGGCAAAGAAGCCTACCCTCTCAACGGAGAGTTCCTTGGATGCTCCCACCGACCCTGAAGCAGCGTCACGTCGAAGAGTTTCTAAGGCCAAATCTGAGGCAGCAAATGCAGCGCTAGACCCTGCACACCCACTGCATCTTACCCTGCCGACCTTCCGTATGGTAGTCCTTGCTGATGAGTTGCTTGAGCAATTCTTTGAGTCGTCCTTCCCTGCATCCTTCCATGTTATCGAGGGACTGCCTACGACAACTTCAGCACAGTCCCTCACAACGTTTTCCAGTCTCGGCTTCGGAGCCAGGCCTCCGGTTGCGCCCCCGGTCGGTCCTCCGGGAGCAGGACGTGGCCTCCGTGGCGTCCTCGATAACATCGTCACGGACGGAATGCGTGTCGCTACCGAGGTTAGACGACGTATGGACGAGGCTCAAAAAGAACTCGAGAAGAACGCCCTGCCTGGGCAACGGCCCGAGGAGGAGGATGAGGATGATGACGACCTTGGAGTTGAAGTAGGCGTGAGAAAGGGACCTTCAGCCAGTAGCACCGACATAGAACGTCGGTCCGTTAGGAGCTCAGACAGAGACCTGCTAGATGGAGCAGATGCAGAGGCTGGCGCGTCGGCCAAGCCGCAAGAACCGAGTTTGCTTGACGTGAACCCCAGCGACGACCGACCTCGTGCCGGTACAGCGACTTCATCGGGGTCAACTGGAGGATCAGGGGTTGTGGAGTTTGAAGGCTAGAAGAATGATTCATAGGATGCCAAGTAAGAGACGGTTATGCAAGCAAAGAAAGAAAATGCTGATGGTCGGTAGTGTCCATCATCCACAACTAGATAGTGTTTAGGTTTTGAGGCAACCACGAAGATAAAGGAGCGTAACGGAACATGGAGGGGGCGAATTGGCGTAACACGGACGTATAGGAGCCTGAGAGATGAGAGGTAGCGGGCTCCTCCCCTTGAAAAATCTATACCTTGATAAGAATCTACGCCGTTGGTGTCAGTCTTGCTGTACTACGACCAATATAGTCTGAAGATAGTATCTGGATCAGCAACATCTGCAGTGGCCGACATTCGAGCAAGTCCTGGTTTTGAACTGCTGAGATCATATATAGTGAGCAAGGCGTTACGGAGCATACGGGTTTCGAACGAACCAGGCAATCTTGGCATCAGTAAACGTTGTGCTTCATCGTGACACAGCTGGATCAGTTTCCCAGCTTCAGGGTGGACATTCTGAGGTACCATCGCTGGGACCAGCAAGATACTCACCAGGTAAATCCCGACACAGGCTGGAATGCGCCTATTATTAAGAATGTTGGCTACCTAATATTGTTCTGTGAGCAATGGATTCGACTAGGAACGCGGCTGTAAAGGTCTGGAATCGTCTTAAAGACACAATAGCCCGGTTAAGGTAGAAACAAGCGGCACGTTATTTGACTTCCAATTCCTAAAAACCCACCCCGCTGGTGTATAATACAGTGAACCCCTATGGCGCGATGAGCCGTAGTAGCGGAATACCCCGCCGTCGCATAAAAGGTAAGGTAAGGTAAGGTATGGATGGATTACATCACTGACGTCTTTGACCATCATAAGTGGCAGGAGGTACAGAGTAGAACCCCCTTACCTACATGCTCGAGACAAGAGTGTAGAGCAACTTGCCGCCTGGGATAATATCAAACTAAACCATCTTTCACACCTCAGTAGTAGATACAGCCAAGAATTTATCCAACTCCAAAAGAGGCCACTTCACCTCCATTTATATCATGGCAGTCATCCTCGTGGTGGGAGCAACCCGTGGTTTAGGTGCCAGTACTGTCAAACAATATGCTGAGCAAGGCGGCAACACCGTCTACGGCACGACAAGATCGTCCGAAGGCCCTGAAGATTTCCATACAGACATCATATGGCTTTCCGGCATCGACCTCATGCAACCTAACGTCGGCGAGACTCTTGTTAGTCTCTTGGACTCTTCCCAACCGATCGACTCGTTGGTGAGTGCTATCTTACTGTGAAGTGAGAAGGCCAAGTAGAACACGTTTGTAAGACTAGCAAAGATCATCACAGCAGGTTACTTCGCTACAGGAGACTTGACCGCGGACAAAGGTCCCAGCTGGGAGCAGGAGCAGCGCATGTACACAACCAGTTCAATCGCCCCCGTTTTCATCGTCCACCGGCTTATCCACCAGGGCTTTTTGAAAAGGGATTCCAAGGTAGTGCTCGTGTCCTCCGAGTCCGGCAGCATCACTCTGCGACATCCCAAGGAGGGGGGAGGAAACTACGCTCACCATGCCAGCAAAGGAGCTCTCAACATGGTGGGCAAGCTGCTCAGCTTAGACCTTCGAGAGCAGGGCGTCATTATCAGCATTGTGCATCCAGGCTTTATGCGAACCGAATTGACAAAGGGCGTTGGCTTTGACAGATTCTGGGATGAAGGTGGAGGTAAGACATGGCAGAAACCAGCTTCACACAAATCAACGCATTCACTAATTAATGAATGTTTGATGTATTAGCTGTGATGCCGGACAAGGCGGCTACAAGCCTGATCGAGTGGACCGATAAGCTTGATATGAGCAAGACGGGACAGTATTGGGCGCCGCGGTGACCAGGTAAGTCGCTACCGAGACCATTTGTGTTACGATGTGTTAGTGAAGGGCTAATGGAGGCTTGTCTGTTTGTCTTCCTAGGAGATATTGGGACTGCTGAGGTCGTTCTGGGCAAAGACTTGGCTACACCACTCCAACTACCCTGGTGAACGGAACAATAGGACAGGACAGAACCAGTCGACAAACCGGCACCAAGCTCAAGAGATCATCAAGCTCAAGGACTTTCCATAGGCAAATGGGCCGATGGGGACGAACAGGCTGTCGCTGAAGAGAGATAATTAAAGTGGAATCGGGAATTGGGAATTGGCGAGTAAATGGTAAAGATTGTCGGTGGGAGATTACTGCAATTTAAGAGATGGAAGCGACGGACCTTGGACTTGTTAAACGAAGGAAGCTATCGTATTGTAGATTGTTTATTGCGGGTAACGATCCTAGTAGTGTGGGGTTGAGAATAAGGGTCTTATAGTACTTTCAACTAGCAGAGTCACGATACTGCATCCGGCTTGGTAACAGCCAAGTACCTGGCTTAGCATATCATTAATTTTGGAAGTTATGATTATCATGAAAATCATCAGATCTGTGGTTTTCTAACCCGTGTTCAGGTGTGTTACGTAGCTGAGGGGTTCCGAGTTTGTATCTGATTGGGATCGGCTGTAGACGACGCGAGGCTAACCAAGAGGGTTTGTCCCACTCGAGTGGGAGGCTGAGAGCTGCATTCTGAGTTACAGTCAGGCGATAACTGCATCTGTGCACGCCGAGACTCGCATCTTGACCGTGGACTGTGGTTGTGTCAATAGCCAATACACGGATACTATTGGACATACCAGTGTAACGTGACAGGCATCTCGATGTTATGTATTTCATGGGCGAGTGTCAGAGTCCGAGTCAGATTACATAGTAATTAGCGATGTATTCGTAAGTACTGTAACTGAACGTTAATCAATTAGATAACTGCTCCATTGCATAGCACGTGGTCCTCGATCCCTAGTCGAGAAGCCAGTCAACTTTGGGGACCAGCACAGCGTTGTATCTAATTAGTCTAGAATGCAACAGTCCAGTTCAGTCAGTCTGGACTCTGGACCGGGCTCTAGTATGTACAACAGTATTAATGGCCAGGGAAAAGCTATTATACGGAGGACCCCAGGCTCTGTTCAGAGTTGGTTCACTCGGTACTAAAGCAAGCACCTTGATTTTGCAAAGATCTGACGGTACAGTACAGTACAGTACAATCGTGTCTTGGATTTACCGTTAAGTAGGTGATCAATCTGATATGATATCTCAACGGCTACGTTGTAAGCTTCCGACAGCCCCTTGAAGGCTAACATTGAGTGGACAAAGAAGGTAAAAAGGAGGCAGATGAGAAATAAATTTGAGCCATGATCGATATGTAACCGGCCGGGATCATTGATAGTTGTGGAGTAAAGCTTCGGGTTCTGATGGCTGGCGTCAGGGGTACGTGGATCATCCATGGATGACAGTGTGGAGGAGATACTCCATCCAGGACCACGCTGGGTATAGCGTAAGACCAACCTTTAAGGGGCAGGGGGGGGCTTGCTTTTCGGCTGACTGGTCTTGCCTACCTGCCTATGCAGAACTGTTCCATCCATGGACGCTGGGATACCAATTGTACCTACGGATACCTACTAATGTACTGTTCTATTCTCCTGTAGCTACGAAGAATGTGCAATTCTATCCATTCCCTCGCACCCGCATTCCAACTTGCCACTGTTGAGTGTACAGAAACTGCTAGTCATCGATTAAATGGAAGAGGTGAAACAGCCGCGCAGTGTCTAGACGTTCTCTTAAAGCCACAGCGGTAGTGCTGGCGTTACCCTGTGTAGCCGGGAAGTCAGCTGCCGCCACTTTTTCTTTTTCTTCCGCCGACAAGGTAATATGTACTGTACCTACATACATAGGTAGGTACTTACCTATACCCGTAGAAGGAAAGACAGGGGGCTTTTATCGATTCAGGGTCAGGATCGATGCTTGGAAACTGAGAATATCGAGCAAATCGGCTGGATTTCATTGCACGTATGGTTATGGCAACGCTGGGCGGTTCCTACAATCGGCCGCCGAGGAAGTAGCCTCGGTGTGGTAACAACATAAAGGTAAAGGAGTACCTAGCTGTGTCCGTACTTAGGTACCTACCTACCTAGGTACAAACACAAAGAGAGAGACAGAGAGAAAAATAAAAAATAAAAAAATGCAGACAGGCAGGTAATCAGGTACAGAGTCAGCAGCTATTGAGCTGAAAAGATAGGTCTATGTCTACTAACTTATATGAATCAATTGCATGTACGGATACCCATACAGCACCAAGGTACTCCATCACATTGACAACTCTGAACATCCATTGCTTTTCTCATCTCCCATCTCTACCGGGTGCACTACTGTACCTTCCCTTACATGGTTACCCCAACTTATAAGTTACCTAGTAGTAGTATGGATCTGACTGAGCTGCTTCCCGATTGATGTAGGTACTGCACCACTTTCACCGACTTGCTTCACCAAAGCAAACAGGAGCCCCATTTCCCCATTTGTCATGGCTCTTACAGAAGGCAGGTACAGTACAGTAGTAATTGACAGTTAGCCCGTACTAAGTGAGTCTATTCATATCTGTACCTTAGTAGGTAGCTCTCCGTACCTACTCTTTCCCGGATTGGCAGGCTCCCGCCCCGTGCCTCTCCATCTTTATTCTTCTCCGTCGATTGTTTCTCTGTCTTCTTTCACCTTCAACTCCGCAACATTCACTTTTCTAGTCGTCACTCAAGTTGCCCTCCAACGTTCCTTTCTTGTGACCCTTACCTTCTCCTGTCTCCCCGCAGTCGACTGCCCGGGACTGACTGTTCTTCATTCTTTTACCATAGCATCGTTGTTGAACATACAGGATCAACGTCACGTTACGTATTCTCGCAACCCATCAGCACCGACTTACGGCAGCATATCGCTCACGCAGTATACATCACTCTGACTTCACTCCACTCTATTTATTCTATCCTCCTTTTTGGCTTTGGACCCTGGAATATTAAAGCACGGTTTCCGCAGCAGAGTTGATTCTTGAAGCAGCCCAGCCTGTCCATCGCTCCAATATATCTTCGAGCTGACTTTTAACCACCGCCGGACTCACCACCATCAATTGGCTGGATCACTTGCAACCATAAAAAACCACAACCTATCCGTAGGCTCTCAACAATCGAGTCTACCTGGACCCTGGAAATCACCATTTGGTTATACTACACCCCTGTTCAGGCGACATCGTTCTAGTACTTACATAGGTACTACGTTGCCCCTGCCAGCCGCAAGCATTGGCCTGCCCCGCTACATCCATTGACGATTCGTACCCAACCAGACGACCCTGACTGGTTGAACTACCTACCCACGCAACCGCAAATCGAGTGCCCCTTCGTCGGCATCTTTTATTGTCGACTTGACAGCCAGAAAGAAAGAAAAAAAGGCCTGCCTACGAAAAACCGAGCCTTCCTTCGCACGCGGTAGTGCTGTACTACTTGTTTTCCCGCCTTTACACGATCAGATCTTTCTCCAACCCCACGGACCATCTGAATCTTGGGCGTTTTGTTAGCTTCTACGTTTAGGCGATCACACTACCTGTGCTCGCTCTCAGCCAGCCCCTTTCTGAGCCCTTTGGCACCCGACCACACAGGCCAGCCCACCCAATAGCCATCGACCCGCCTGGTACCTGAACAGCCCGAGTTGAACTGGGATTCAACTCACTTTTGAGTGGCGTACCGTGTTCCTGTCGACCCGGCATGACGCTAGGTCTGAGCTTCTAGGTCAAAGGAATTTAACCCATCCTGAACTGCGTGCTCTACCTACCACGCCCAGATCTTCACAATCAATCACTTGGCAGGTTGCTACCATTCTTGCTTTTCGCAAGCTTAGGTACTGACTATTTCCTGCTTGTACACGACACCCGTGACGCATTGTTTGACTCTGCGTTGCAACGGTGACGGGACAATCTGCCGTTTTCTTCTAACTTTATGTCGATTGGCTCCGCATCATCTCCTGGATCTTCAAATCAGAAACACAAAGCCCAAGCTTGACCCCTTTGCAATCATGTCTGCTGCACAATCTTTTCCGTCCGGTAAGCGCCCGCCCCTTGATTTCGCTTTGATGTGATCTGCGACAAACACTTCATTCCCAAACTCTCCCTCCCCTTCAGTCTCGCCGGGATTCGCGCCCGATAACTACCACAAGGTCGGCGCTTGTATCTGCAAAGAAAGGTGATAAGATCCAGAAACCAAGATTGAATGGATTGCAAATTCACTTGGCAGAACAATCCATAAGCGAAATCGCTCTCCGATCCACTTGGCTGGCGTTCATTCTGTGTCATGCTGAGGAGATTGTTTGTTTCATCTTGGTCCATCTGTCGTCGTCATTACATGCACGCGCCCGTTTGTCTGGCTGCAAGCTGATACTTTTCTTGGAAGCAGGCCACGCCAGTTCTGGTCAATCTCCTGGACTCACACTCAACTTATCTTCTAATAACCCCTTCCGCAACCGCGCACCCTCTCCCGCCAGCGCCGATCTTCTTTATTCTAGCAAACCCTCTTCTCCTTTCGACGACCCTCCCCCACGGCCATTATCACGAAATCCGTTTCTCGACTCACCAGTCGACTTGCTATCTCAGCCTTTGAGGTCACCTGGCGCCATGTCTGCTCACTCAGATTCCAAATCCCTTTCGGCTGAGGAGATTTTTGTACGTATCCAGCCATTCTGTTACTTTCACTACTATTGGCAATAATGCTTTGCGGAACCTGTTGCCTGTTCATTGTCTTGGTGTCAGATCGTCTTAACTCTTTGCTAACGGAGTATCTTGCAGAATTCCATGACACTAGACGACTCAGCACAAGATCGGGCGAAGCAGCAAGCCCAACGTCGACCAGCGAACGGCCCACCACGACGTGATGGAACTGCACCACCACCTCAGGATGGCAAGCACCGCCCGACGCGTTCTCAGGAGGAAGCCCTCCGCGCTCGCAGGATGCAAGGTCCCGGACCTCGACCCCAACAGAGCTCACCGCAAAGACGGGCCCCACCAAGACGCCCCCGACGTAACTCTGAATCCTCTTTGGTGGACTTTGATGCGCGCCCTATCACAGACGAAGAGAAGCGAATGATCGAAGCCGCCAGACGACGTAAATACGAACAACAGCGTCGTGGAGAGGGCAAAGAACGCACTGATAGAAGCGACCGCGACCGTGAACGCGAACGCGAACGCGATCGCCGTGAGCGGGGTGACAAAGAAAAGTCCAGCCGTCCTAGCCGTAGGATGGATATTATCGACCAACTTGATGCCACAAGTATTTACGGGACTGGAGGTATGCCCCCTTGTCTTGCCCACTCACGCTGGCTCGGTCTTGCTAACATAGATTAGTTTTCCATCATGATGGTCCTTTTGACGCGCTGAACCCTCACCGAAACCGTCAAAATGCGAGACGTGCACCTATGCAGGCTTTCCCCAAGGATTCTCTCAACAACTCACTTGGAGGCGCAGGACCTCTTAATGCCCGGGCCGACCACTCGGTCCTTATGGGCAATGCTACCGATGAAGCTTTCAGAGACTTTGCGGCGCCCACCAAAGCCAAGAAGGAGACTCCCATTTTCGATGCTTCGGGTCGCGACAAGATCGTTCATGGCGATGAGTCGGTCGGTCTAGGCACCTCCACATTCTTGGAGGGCACACCCGCTGCACGAAGTGCTATCCAGCGTCATCAAGCCGAACAAGCCCAAGAAACGTCTGAGGGTGGTCTGCAGCGAAAGAAGTCGCTGGCACAGCGTATCCGTCACATTAACAAAGGCCCTAGAGACTACAATCAGCCAGGTCGTGAATATTCTAGGATCACACCCGACCCCTACCCGACCACTGCTAGTGCTGGCTCCGATAACAACCCTTTCTTTGCCGAATTCGGCAAGGGAGATGAGAGTATCAGTGTTAGACAACGAGATGGATCTATGTCAGCCAACAGTCCCCCGGGAGCTCGACGTCCTTCTGCTGGAGCAGTCCTGGAGCGACGAGCGACGACTGACGCTGCCACCGCACTGGATGATGCACCAGCCAAGCCTACTGGTCTCATGGGACGAATGAAGAGCTTAAAGGGACGAAAGACTCGGCCAGAGATTCCTAGCAACAGTCCTGGTGTGCCCGGAACGGCCGTTTAGTGGAGGACAGGTGCCGGGCGACTCCTTGACGTGAGCCGAACCTCAGCGCGACGGCAGTTTAGGCAGGACAGTCTTCTGGAGAATGACAAGGAAGACATGAACGAGAGCGCGCGGGGCAACAATCTGCCCACCCGAGACCAAGAAAACGCGGCGCCAAGGGACATGGTGAGATCTGCAACAAGACGAGCCTTTGCGATGCGTTGCTGCAGAAGCCCAGAAAAGCCTCGATCGAGGGCTCACGAGTCCAAGGCAGCGGCATGAAAATGCCATGAGATAAACCTATCTGGCCCATGCGGACCTAGATCAATCTTTCACTCCTCCCCCTTTCCTCTTCTCCTATTGTTTTATTTTGCTCGGGGCGGGACGGTAGCATGGGTTATGGGACACCCGACCCCGGGTATTGGGTCGCTTACTCAGTTTTGGAGATTCAAATCAAGGCAGGTCTTGAGAAGCAGAACCCCGAGGCCTTAACGGTCGTTGATGGTAATGTCATGATACCAGGGAAGACATGGGGCTGCAGAAATCTGGAAGGCTGTCATAGAACCCTTTTTGTATGTTTTATATCAGGAATTGATGTCTAAATTGTGGACGCATTACCACAAACAAATACCACGTTATTGCTTATTATGTACATGTAATTACTCCCCCTACGTGATTGCGAAAGTGCATGGTAACATTAGTAAAACATTTTCACGCACTTGCCTTATTGCCGACTGAGCGTAGGTAATTGTCGAATATCAACAATCATTTTGACAAAGTTTGGTTTCTTTTTCGACGAAAAGTCGCTGCTAGGTAAGTATTTCGCTGACATGGACGCCTTGACCAACACCATCCTTACATAAACACTGTCAAGATCAAGACTTACCTGATGGACTCGGTGCAACCTTCTCAGTCACGAGAGAGCTCCCACTTCCTGGTAGAGCCAATTTCAGCTTCGATTTTGGCTGAAAAAGAAGCCCACAGGCGTAATGCAGCCGCGGTCCTGGGGACCTGTAAGACAGGATGCTCAGTCGTGGATGACGATGTTTTGCTGGGCGGCTTCGAACGCGCAAGTATTGTGGGCATCAGTGCCGAGGATGAAGATTTGGGAGTCCAGGTAAGGACAAACGTAATGTTGAAGAAAGGCAAATCGTTTTACTAATCTTCCTTTGCCAGCTTGGCCTTCAGACACTGGCGCATTCTTTATTGGAGGGGTCAGTCAAGAATGCACTGCTCATCACACCGAAGCCGACAAGTGCTATGTTAGGGAGCTTAAGGGATGCTATCAAAGCAGAGCTCGAGACACGCGGATATACGAGGGATAAGACAAAGTTGAGGCAGTGTCTCGATAATGTGATGCTGTCCTGTGTATTTGATCTGGATGGTTTATGGGAGGTCTTGGCCGACCTGGACCGAAGTGAGCCAAAAGAAAAAGAAGAAGGTGTCTTCTCACACAGGGAACAGGAGGCACAGAAGCAAGATACAACACAAAGAGCACCAGTCGATGAGATTCAGGACAGCCAGGACGACGAAGACACGGCATTCTCCCCCGTTGACCAAACTTCAGAACTTGTGCAAGAGAAAGAGGCGCCAAGCAAAATGACGCCGCACCCAGAAGTCATCGTGATAACCCATTTCTCCTCTCTTTTAACTAGCCTCTTCGCCCATCGCGAAAAGGTAGCCGCCCACACTTCTCTTCAGCTTCTGGGCTCTCACCTGCGTGACCTCTCACGGAATCTTCCATCTAATCCACTGATCGTTCTACTCAACTCTACATCATCAAACTTCTCAGGCCCAACACATAGTGCTATAGCCTCTCCTGCAAAACAGACCTTTGTCGATCCAACGCTGCGATCCATCTTCAACCCACCTTTAGTCACAGGCTACAGCAGTCGACGAACAAAACCCAATTTCGGTCTCTCATTTGCTCAGCTGTTGGACTTGCATATTCTGTGCACCAGGATTCCCAAAACGAGAGTAGACGCAGAGATGGCAGTGCAGAAGCGCTCTGGTGAGGAGGTCAATATGGCTTGGGTTGTAGAGGTGCTGTTGGATGAGATGGGTGTCTGGGAAGGCAAGATGGGGGTAAGGGTGGGTAGAGAGCAGAGATGGGCGATTGTTGAAGTTGAGAAGGGAAGAGTACAAGGTGCATTCAGTGAGCTAGAGGAAACGCTCAAAATTCCACATACAGGTGAAGTAAGAGATGCATGAGGTTTCGGAGGAAGGGGAGTTTGACTTGCTTCACTGTATTGTAGTAGCTTATAGCAACTTGTAGGGAAAGACTGGGTAATTTGTGAATGATTCACTCGTTCTATTAGCGGCAACATATGTTTTCACTCTCTATTCGGACAAATGCATTTTTATTTGGTCGACTTTATCACCAGTATCCGTACTGTAGGGGCATTCTGAGGGAAACGTTGTCAGCAAAGCCGTATTATGCCCGAAAAGAAACTGGCCAATCACATGTTGGCCGCAAAACTTAGTAGGTACTCTATCAAGTCTCATGAGCATTCGACATTCGACCGCGCTGGGGTGACATTGACAAAGCCGTTGCCTTTACAGCCAAAATGCCCAGCTCATGTAAAGAACTACGTAAGCTACACATTCAATAAATTCTCTGGAATCCCTCCCAGTCGTACATTCTAACCCTTGATTTTCCTTTGTCTAGGCGAAGCACTCGCGCAGTGTCTGCAAGAATCCGAATGTGTCATGGTCGAGCGCAACAGCGCCGCCGACTGTCTCCGCGAACCCCTCGTCAACACTCTCCCCCTCAAGTGCCGCCAGCTAAAGAAGGGCTTCGGCGAGTGCAAGCGTGGCATGGTCGATATGCGCAAGCGATTCCGCGGCAACATGCCCGTGGCGTACCGTACAATGGAGCAAGCCGAGGAGGGTCAGGGATATCAACTTTACGCCGGCCGGCCAGCCTTTGCAGGCGGTGTCAAGAAGACGGACGGAAACGAACCTATTCCTAAAGATTGGAGAGAAGTCGAGAACGACAAGTGGAAGGCCGAGCAAGCGGCCATGGCACAGGAGAAGAAGTGAGAGAATGGCTGGCTCTTTGATACTGAACCAGGCGGTTCCTCGCACCGAATCGTCACGGCAAACAACGACTTACGAAGATGATGGGATTTGAGATGACAATATCAAGATATCAAGCACAATAGATGCGGAAAAGGCGGGACTGGAAATTGCCTTTCGAGGTATCTGCCAGACCTTGATCGCCCATATGTATGTACCTGGCAACTTCGCACACTCTTTTGCGAGGAATGCAGGTGGTCTGTGTCTGTACTCCATACTCACCTTTGTGTAATATCTATATTTGTAACATATGATTTGGTTTGTTATATCTGTTTCCTGGCTTCCATGACTGTCATTGCATATTGCCTCGTGCAGCCAATAGCGTGTTATCTAGACTATCTGTCAGATGAGAGTGGCATTAGGGTACTATCTTATCACCTTTGGAACCCAAGACACGGAATAGTCACTTTATGCGAGCTTAGGCTGACTTTGGGATAATTGTTTCTGGCTTATTACCTTTAACGTGCCCACTAGGTACGTTGAAGTCGGGTACAGTACAGAGTATGAAGGTTGGTATTAGGATGGCCTGGCTAGCGCAAAGAAATTAAAGTTTGAGGCGCCTATCCGTACCAACCTCAGCATCCATTGGATCTTGGCTTATCTTATGCATCTTGGATCTCGCCCATCCACGCACGATCTGAAATGCCTACGGAGTACAGTACTCTATCTGTCGCCTTGGTATGTAACTTGGAGTTTCGAATTCGATGCTCCGAGTAAGTAACCATAGATGTAGGAGTCAATGCCGTAGAATAAAAGAAAGAAAACCCCCTGGCCCAACGGATTCTTGGGTTCAACCTTGCCCGTTGATGGATGGAATAGACGGGGAATTGTCCTCCCTTGTACACATCCGTCCTTGGCGCCATCCATCACACGTACGTCTGAAAAACCTCATCCCAACAGAAAAAGGGCTTGGCCCGCCGGTTTGAAAATGCCATAGTACAGAGTACAGAGTACAGAGTACAGTACGGTGGTGGTAATTTACAAGCTTGGTCAGCTAGCGGCACATCTGTATTTTTCTTTGCGTTATTGGACTATCTACCTACCTACCTAACATCCATACATCTCATCCCACCTGGAACGATTCTGGCGCTGCGAAGGTCTCACCACAGCCGCCCAAGAGAAGCTTGCTTGGATCGGGTCGTTGTGCGAACGCTTCCGCTTCATTTCGTACACTCGTGATCCGAGACGATTCCATTTAAATCCCCTCTCCGTCGCCTCACCGGATTAGGAAATGCGGCTTTGTCCACCACCGTTGTCGTCATAACCCTTCTCTCGTCCTCAGTATCAATTTGCTTCACCTGAGCTTTGCAGTATTTACCTCTCTAATTCGCCTTACCACCAACCACGGTCATGATGATCACCGCACCACAGCGGCGACTACTCGTCCTCATATCGACATTCTTCTTTGTATTCAGCATTTTTTACTGCTGCTCGCGTCTCGCAGCATTGACTGTTGGTCCCAAAATCGTCCAAGAGCCAGCACATCTAGTTCCCCAAGTTGAGTTGCTAAAAGCCGACAACCCCATGTCCTACGGCATGTACAATCGACCGAGCTACGACGGCATCGACCTCATCAGGAACTTACCAAGCGAATACATACCGACGGCAAAGAATGGAAGACGGCTGGTTGTGGTTGGCGACATACACGGCATGCTCGACCCCTTCGAGAAACTGCTCAAGAAGATCGAATTCGACCCTGAAACTGATCACGTCATTGCCGTCGGCGACATGATAAACAAGGGACCTAAATCCTCGGAAGTAATCGCACGCCTTATGGAAATAAAAGCCAGCGCTGTCCGCGGAAACCACGAAGATCGCGTAATCCTCGCATGGCGCGGCCTCAGCAGTCAACAAGGTGTCGCAGCCTACCTCGATTCCGAGAATGCCGCCAGGCACCGAGGTGAAGAGGAGGATCTGAAAACCGCGCGTAGCCTGACTGAGCCGCAAATGGCATGGCTTAAGAAACTCCCGGTCGTCTTGTCGGCGGAGCCTATGGCTCTCTATTTTGTGCATGCTGGCCTTGTCCCAGGCGTGCCTTTGCCGCAGCAGGATGCCTGGGCTGTCATGAACATGCGCACCCTGCGCTTTCCTCGTGAGGAGTTCCGTAAGAAGGAAATCGAAAAGAAGCTCCAGCAGGTAGAGAAACAACGCCAGAAAGAGCTGGAAAAGGCACAGGAGGCGGCACAAGCGCAAGTAAAGCGAAGTTTCGTCCCCAAAGGGGAGGATGCCAATTTACATGCTCATATCGCTCGTGCTGAGACCGCAGAGTTGGACTCCACAAGCACCGTATCCTCGACCGACGAAGATATTGTTGACTCTGGACATACCAATCCGGACCGCGATGTCTGGCTTCCTATTGACGGACACCAAGGCGAGCGATGGACCAAATTGTGGAATAGGGCGCAAAAGAAACTACGTGGACCTGATCGCCGCTCGGTCATATATGGCCACGATGCCAAGATGGGCTATCAGGAGGATTCCTATACATTTGGCTTGGACTCGGGTTGCGTCAAGGGCAACGCACTGACAGCTCTGGTTGTTCAAGCCAGCAAGGAAGGAGGATGGAAACATTCGACCCACCAGGTTACGTGCAAAAAGGGTTGGTGGTGATGCCCTTCTGACTGTCCAAAACGATTATTATCAGTAGAGGTATCACGCTTTATCATGATTGTCGGACGATGCCATGGCGCAGAATTGCGCATTGAACTTCGGGGGCGTTCGGGTGTTATGGCTATGTAGTTATCTTGTCAAACCTTTTGGATTGCGACCTTTTCATGGCTGTCTTGCCAAGACACTAAGATATTCATATAATGCAATGCCATGGAATTTTGCGTAACATGTCGTCTCAATTCGTTAAGTAGCCACTATCTGTGTCTGGACATCTAATGCCCCTATCAGGACATGGTTAACCACTTTGCCTCGACTTGAGGGTAGATGGTTTAGGCTAGAGTAGGTATGTGGTATAATAAGCAACCTCCATCAAAGATCGCATGCAGATCCAAGCTATTCTTTTCATCAACTCGATACCGCTTCGTCCCCATTTTCAAGGATTTTGTAACTTTTAAAATTAATTCCGTGGCCCCTTAAAAGCACGAAAGCGCTTAGGAAAGCTTCTCCTTGAGGATATCCTTCAGGGTGACAGCATCAGCAGCGAACTTGCTGATACCTTCACGGAGCTTCTCGACGGCCATCTGATCCTCGTTGAAATCGAAGCGGAAGAAAGCCTCATCCTTGATGTAGGACTTCTTCTCGATATCCAGAGAAGAGGCCTGGGAGGCATCAAGCTTCTTGGGCACAGCCTCGGAAGAGTTAAGGAGATCCTCGAGCAGGTTGGGCTGTAAAGTAATGTTAGCACAAATCAGTCCCTACAACATATGTGTACAAAAAACATACAGAAATAGTCAGGTAATCGCAGCCGGCAAGCTCAGTGATCTCGCCAGTGTTTCGGAAAGAGGCACCCATAACAATGGTGTTGTAGCCGAACTTCTTGTAGTAGTTGAAGATTTGCTTGACCGACTGGACACCAGGGTCCTCCTCCTTGGAGTACTCCTTCTTAGTGGACGCCTTGAACCAGTCGAGGATACGACCAACGAAGGGAGAGATGAGGTAAGCGCCAGCCTCAGCAGCACCAATGGCCTGGACAAGAGAGAACATGAGGGTGAGGTTGGTGTTGATGCCGTGGTCGCGCTGGAGGATCTCAGCAGCCTTGATACCCTCCCAGGTTGCGGCGATCTTGATCAAAATACGGTCCTTAGAAATACCTTGCTCACCGTAGAGCTACCAAACCATGTGAGTGCGGTGTCGAGAAAGTCCTGATGGTATATCAACTTACCTCGATGAGGTGAAGAGCCTTGTTGACTGAAGCCTCAGTGTCGAAAGAGTAGCGAGCGTCGACCTCGGTGGAGACCTTGCCGGGAATGATCTTGAGGATCTCCTTACCGAACTCAACGAGGAGTCGGTCAAGGGCATCGTCGACCTGCTGGTCGATGGGGCCACCCTTCTGCTTAGCGTAATCGATGGCGACGTCGATCAACTTGGCGTACTCAGCCTTCTTGGAGGCAGCGAGGATGAGAGAAGGGTTGGTGGTAGCATCCTGAGGCTTGTACTTGCCAATGGCTGTTAAATGTGTCAGTTAGCATTGCAAGTTCCATCATATCATGCCACGTCATATCAGGATGATCATGACGAGATTTGGTGGGGGGATAAGAAAGTATGTTTGTATCGAAACAATCAAAGTCGTGAACTCGAGCAATGAATAAAGAGAATGAATACTAACAGGCAAAGTCGCCTAGAAGAAGAGGTTAGTACATTACTTTGCAATTAGAGGGAGTGCGGTAATTACCAGAGTCAGACACAACAGTCTGTTGCCGTGTAAAAGCAAATGGTCAGCCATCATATCGTCTTGAACGCACAGCTATGGAAACTAAGGGGATAGAGGACGACCAAAAGATTGGCTGAAGATTGAACGAAGCTCAATTGATTCTTGACTTGAGCGCAAAAGTGATGCTCGCTCTTCTCTCTTGGTCGCGATGATAATGGAAGGGGCAATGGTGGGGTGACGTACGGTGCCGGTAGCCTTGAGCTGGTCGAGAGAAGTAGACATGATGGGATCGTATTAAGTCGTAGGTATCGTGTAAGTTTGATTGAGCGATGTGAGAATAGAGATGAATGAAGAGAAGAGAAAGAAAGAGGAAGAGGAAGACTATGAGGGAGTAGCAACCTAGAAAAAAGATTGGGGTTTCCACCGAAAATCGGGAAGGGACCTGACGTACACAGAACGACTGGCTCCTTCTCTGTTGTTCCTCTTTGCCCCTCAGGTCGTCGCCCCTCCCATCGCTGCACCCTGCGCTTGCTGTGTCCCACACAAGGTGGCAGCTACCTACGTCGGATGCCCCGCTTCTTACCATGGAAGTCATAACCGGGGCCTGGGTACCTTACTTCATCTGCCTCATGTCAACCTAGCCCAAACCTCAGTTACAGCCGCGCCAGCCAGCAACGTTGAGATGCATTTTTCTCTAATTGGTTGGTACTCAGTACCTGAGTTTTACTTTTTCTATCTACTAACAATACCATGCTGCAATCAGGTCGCGTATTTACCCGTGTCTCGGAACTGTCATCTGACATGACATAAGCTTTTTCAGCCATCAGTCATTCTCTACTAAACTTCTCGTCACTTATTCAACATCGACGACATCGGCAAATCTACAGTGCTATATCCATTTATTGTCTTGGTAATCGCTACCGCCGCACCGCCCCCACCACTTTACTTCACTCTCACCTCAGTTCAACCTAGTCCAAGCGGGCGAGGCGGGCAACCAACCCCCCACCTTATGGCAGCGAAGTCGCTTCAATGGCCCGGCCTGACCTCGCTGTGTCCACCGAGACCCTCAATGATGTCGTTAGCACCTGGACATAGAATGCCGTGGATAGCTGAAGTAAGGTACAGGCAAAACTGACGCTTTGGGGGTGATGTATATTTAGCCGCTTGTTTTTGCCTGCGTTATGTTCGGCAGTAACTGCGCATCGTGATTATCCATGGATATGTGCTCATGTTCTGATTCATTCCACCGAAAAAAGCGCCTTCAAAACACTCACGCACAGGCTCCAATCAACAGCAACAAGATAGTATGTGGCTTTCAATCGGCGTAAGTGTTTAGTGAAGTCAATGTCACCGGTAACCTCGACGGGAAGAACTCCGATGCTTCCGGATTTCTACATGAGGCCTTAAGACTCAACATCGTGGATGATAAGGTGTGTCGTGAGCACCGTCATAATACGAGCGTTTGTTCTCCCCTTATGCATGCATCCAACCGCAAGTTCTGTTTAATTCCGCGTGAATGAGGTGTTTAAATGTTTAACTAAGAACAAAAAATAAAATAAAATAAAAGATAATCAACACCCAGGAGGATGACATTGGCCAGTATCTCCCAACATTTTCAACCCAAACTGGTGTCAAGCACAAAAGTAGCGTAGCTGCTCATGTTGGCGTTAGTCACATGCATGGAGGGTAGCCGGTACTTGACTCTCAGAGTTTGTTTCCTTCCTATAAACGCTTTTCCCTCGATGTGTTAATAGTACATTGTACCTGCCGGCCAAAGATTGCCCCCAAACACTATTATGCCTTGAAAGTTTTCCCTGTTTGAAACCTCATCTGTATGTATATGTTTGTGACACCTTCTTAGCCAACGCCATTGCTACGTAATCAACTCAAAATCAGAGGTGGTCTAGTCCTCAGTTATATCTCCATATTCCCACATACCACGACGATCTTGCTTCGCCTGGGCCTCAACCTCCTTGAGGTGCTTCAGTGTAGGTTCGAAAACCTTGCTGCGCTCCCACGCTTTGAGCTTCTTGGGCACCATACCGTATCCGCCTGCAACAACATCTTTGTTGATCGAGTCATTAGGGCCAGGCAATTCGCCCGAAGACCCAGTATCGTACAAGGTAACGTAGCTCACATTCTCCTTGTTGTCGACAAAGTCGAAGTTGGCAACGAGTCGCTTATTCTCAGTGATGTCGTAAATAAAGCCGATGGCATCCTCAAAATAATCAGCGCCGGTTGGAAGCTGAACAAACGACAGAGAAGCGTCAACGGCCTGAGCCTTCAGCTTCTGCGCACCAAACTTGGGCTGGTCAAGGGCCCGAAGGTTGGACCAGGGAATCTTCTCGCTGTTGCCGTAGTCGATGTAGATGACTTCGGATTTCTTGGCGGTGCGATCGTTGGACCTCACACGAGCTCGGTACCATTGGCCATCGGCGGAGAACTTGGCTGAAACGTACTCTCCTGTTTTAGGTGCATCCTTCAAAGGGTTGTTGTTCTTGGAGTCCAGATGGAACTTTCTAAATTCGCTCATCAAGCTTTCAAGGGCAGCTGTTCCCTTACCAATCTCCTGGAGCTTGATCTTCCCGTTTGCGTCAACATTAGTGATGACAACATCACGGTAGTCGGTAGGCTTCTTTTCAAGGGAGGCATCGGCTTCAGGAGTAGCCTCCCCGGCATCCTCTTCCTCATACTCCTCATCTTGAGATGGATCCCAATCTTGCCACAGGTTCTTTCGGGCTTCCTTCGCCTTCTTCTCGGCCGCAAAAAGCTCGGTGGCATTGCCAGACTTTTCAGCAGAATAGGCGTGAACAGAAGCCAATCCCTCTTCAACTAAAACCTTGGCAAAGTTCTCACGATTGACGTAGAGCTCACCGATGAAGCCACCTACCTTATCCATATCATGGATGTTCACTTCGCAATCTCGCTGGTTACAACGGCGGTTGGCAAGATCAAGAGCTTCCTTGCCGAAAGGCTCGCCACCTTCGCCATCGGCTCGGGGCGCTCGAGGGGCTCTAATACCACCCAAGACCATGGTGAGTTTCACATTCTCGCGGGGAATTAAGACCGTGAATCTTGAACCTGCCTTACAGAAGTCGACAATAGCAGGAACCTTCTTCTGCCGTTGTAGTGTAGCCAGCATGATCTTGGCCTTCTGTGTGTTCTCGGAAAGGTCGGTGTACTGCTTGGCCTTTTGAGGCTTGCCGGACCACATACCCTTCTTCTCCTCTTTCGCCTTCTCTTGGGCAGCAAGAAGATCATCATAGTTGGGAGCTCGGTCAGTGTCATCTTTACGGTGTCGGATGACTGAGGCCCATCCGTTCTCGACCAGAAGGAGGTTGATATTGGTGTTCTTCTCGGTAACAGTAGCGACTTCTCGGGCCTCGAAGCCTTCGGTTGCAGGCTTGTTGCCGTCGATACTGATGCGCACTTGCTTTCCGATAAGCTTCTGACGAAGGAACTCCTTGGCCTCTTCCCTGAAGGGACTCTCGGAGGGCTCTGTAGTACGGGGGCCTCGGACACTGCTGATGCTGATGCGCTTTTCTGATGTCCCGGCCTTGTTTCTGATCATGATGATGTCGGCACCAATGACCTTGGAAACGATCGCATCCTGGTTTCCGCCTTCAGCTTTAGCAACGTGATGCTTGTGAATACGGAGCTTCTTGGACTGTGCCTGCTTTTCAGCGGCACGAAGAGCAGCCATCTTCTCGCCCAAAAGGGTAGAGTGGAAGTCGTTACATCGTGCCAGACCATCTTGTAGCAAGAATTCGGCAATGTTTCCGCGAGGGTGTATAATGGCGGCGACGAGCTGGCCTTGTGGGCTAGCACCGACGATCTCGACCTTGACCTGGCGCTGGAGCAATCTTGATTCGACGAACGCTCTGGCTTCGTTTCCATACTCCTCAGCGGGCTGGGTAGCACCAGTTGAAGGAAGTGTTCGCTCAGTGGCTGGTGTTCGAATGCCAGCAATGAGGGTCATAGGCTGGACGTGCTTCTTCTCCGATAGCAAAAGTCGCACCAGCAGACGGTCACCACTAAGAACTCGCTCTACCACACCATCAACAGTCTTACCCTTCCACTCCTTCATGAATTCGGGACCGCCAAGATCGTTCTGAACTTCAATGATACCGCCAACTCCAACATGGAGGCCCTTATCCTCGGCCTTGGCCTTACTTTCGAGCTGACGGAGGGTCTCCAGGCGATCAAGAACTTCGTCGGTCTCTTCCTTTCGACCGGCATCCTCACGGACCTTCAGCCAGCCAGCCTTAACAAGCTCATCGGGAAGGTTGGTACCATCCTTGAGTTGAGCAGTTCCAAATTCTCGGCCGGATGTAGGAATCGTGTAGAGAACAGTGGCCTGTACGGGCTTTCCGACAACGAGATTCCGGAGATACTCGCGTGACTGGAAGGCGAAAGGTTCGTCGCCTTCGCGCTTCAGATGGGGAGCCGTGACATAGGCAAGAGACAGGGTTCGCTCAGCATTGGGGTTGTTAGGGCTGGTCAATATCAGAGTGTCGCCACTGAGCACACTCTTGACGTTTCCGATAAAGGTCTTGGACATTATGACGAGGACAACGAGACGAGGCGGAGAAACCTGTTGGTACAAAAAAAAGAAAAAACTTTTGTTAGCTTGCATCTAAAAGCAAAAGGCTGCCGGTGACAATAGTCATTCCCAAGAGTTTCCAAGTAGAATAAGGAGCTGGCTTCGAGCTCACTCTGGTCATGCCACCGCTTCATGGAGAAAAAGCACAATATTCTGTGTTCCAATATTACGTACCTGATATGGGAAAGGAAAGCGATATTTTTGGTTTGAGCCTTGTTAAGGATTAGGATTCGGCTCAAGCAAGGACAAACAGAAATAAGGAGGAAACAAATGGAAAAAGGGAGAGCTTCATCCAAGCATGTGGAGTGGAAGTCCAGATCGTGTGAGCTGGTCGCCATTCTTATGGAAAGGTGGCCCCAACGTCAGGTTTCGCCGCTAAAGGCTCAAGTGTGGGGACGAAGCTTAGGGGTCAGGTGGGTCGACGAAAAAGCGAGACTTAGCTAAGGGTATCATAAAAGCTAAGATGGTTTACTCCAGGCTTAGTACCCGATCAAGTCTAAGTTATTTTGTCAATAGACTTCTGTGTCCTGATTATTATTTTTTTGGATCGCCAGGGGGTCTTCGAAATTGACCGCGGGGTACTGAGCCCCTACAACTAGCTCAACTTCAGCTACTCTAGTAGCTTAGAGCTCTCAGAGCTTCCATCTTTGTAGCCCAAATCGAGTAATATCTTCTCCCTTTCATGATTTAGTCTAGTCGAGATCTTGTGACATTTTTAAAGCTCGCTCAATACGGTAAGACAGCCGGCCAATAACCAGAGGTTGTATGGATCTTGTATACGGCATTCACCACCTAATAAAGAATGTTTACAAGATGGCCCTTGGTAAAGGAAGAGGCCCAAACCTTTCATGATGGACTGATCTTAACGCCTCCTTCCCCGCGCGGCAACACGATAACCTAGGCAATCGTTCACTTTATTACCAATAATGGCAAGTTGTTTTGATCGAAGAGAAAGTACGTATTTCAATCATTCAAATTGAGTTGAATTGAGTTGAATTGAGTTGAATTGAATTGATTATTGTTATCAAATATTCTGTGACACATCATTACTCATGGCTGACATTTGCTAAACAAAGGCCACTGAACAACGGCGAACTTCATTCAGTCAATTCAGTTCGGCGTTTTCTGACGTCCTAGTTGGAAATACCAATAACGCCTGAAAGGGTCAGTAACAAATCTTAGGCAAGTATAATCATGGATGTACACACCGCAAGCAGGTCGGGGTCCAGCGTTACCGGTCTTGAGAGACTCCTCGCTGTCACCCTTGCCAAGATCGTCGGTACCGGCGTGGATAACAACGGTTCGCTATATCCTCATTAGCTGAAGCCCCATGTATCAATTAAAGCATTCAACTTACGCCAATAACGCTGTGGGGACCAATCAGCTTGATGAGAGAGTCAGTAACGGAACCCTTAGCATTGCCCTGGCCATCAGTCTCAACGTTTCCGAGATCACCAACGTGACGGGTCTCGTCAGAAGGAGCGCCGTGGGTCTTGTTGTGAGGGTTGACTACGATTGGGCTTATTAGCAACCTTGATCGTCAAGCCGGGATGGAATTCTGACGGAAAGATCTTGCAATTGATCTTCAAGATCTAATGTAGAGACCCATCCATCACGCAGGAACAAGCTTACAGTGAGGGCCGGCGGAAGTGCAGCCGTTGGTGTTGTCACCGAAGGTGTGGATGTGGAATCCTCGTTTGGCGTTGGGATCGTTGCCGGTGATGTCCCAGGTGATGGTAGTAGGAGCAGACTCGGACTCCTGCTCGAAGACGACGGTACCGGAGACCTTGGAGTCACCACGAAGAACGCTCACTGTACAAGATAGCGTCAGCGGTATGTTCAAGGTACAAAGCTACTTGTGATGTCGTGGTAGTGGTGGTGGTCAGGCTGGAGCTCGACCTTGATGGGTATGATGGCAGCCATAGGTAGATGACCAAAGCTCATCAAGGGACTCGGAACCATGGTTTGACGCCCAGCAGATCCTACAAGCGCAGGCCTGGGAGAAGCCCATCAAGGTACATTGCGGATGGTATCCGTCATCTTGTTGGACGAGAGTTGAGAAACTCGCTCAAACCAGCTCGAACCCCCTCCCAGCAGATCGCAGGCGTGGGTAATTGGCATCTATAAAGGGCTGCCATCCACCCCAGGGCCAGTCACAAAGATTGAACATGGGATCTTACCAGCCTTGACCATTTTGACGGTATTTTGTTTGTATATTGTTTTTGTTTCGGGCGATTTCAGGAAGATGGTGAATTCAGGAAGATGAATGATGCAAGTGGAGAGGGGAGAGGAGTTTTGAAAAGAAATCGGGGTCCGAAACAGCGCGATACCCGAGCTTCTGTCGGGATAGGAGCTTTCCACCAGCTCCCATGAACCCCGTCTTCGGTCTCCCTCAATCAATAAGCCCCCCTCAGACCTCACTGGATGCCAATTGTCCAGTAGCCCAACCCTCCCACTGTTTCCAAGTTCCCAGCCAATCTCATCCCCAGAATTCTACATACCGACCAGGCTCCCGCGAAATGTTTGGATATATCAGCGTCTCACGGAGCTTCGCCATGTAAGTGGGGTAATTGGCATCATACCCCGCTCCGTCAGAACGTCGTCATTCTCAAGACAGGCACCTACTGTAGTCCAATGGAAAATACTCCAAGCACTGACGAATGATATTGCATCATTCACTTCAATGTGCTTGCTACTAAGGTTCCGTTGTATGTTGTAGGGAGGTACCTATGTACAAACAGTGAGAGTCAAGACCTAGGTATGCCAAAATTCGGACTTCTTGTGTACCTCCGTAGGTGTTCTCAACCGTGTATTAAACATAGTATATGGTCAGGGTTTAGACTACCCTGTACAAGAGAACAATCTAATCTACAATTGACGCTCAGGATTCCTTGCCTCGAGCGGAGCCAGAGAGCGCTTCAATGAACAGGTTGGCAGTCGCATGTATGCTGTATAGGTAGTCATGGTGGGTTGGGACAATCATAATATCTCTTGGAGGAGTTGACATTTCTTGCAAGTGAAGACTGATGCCATGAATGGTATTAGAAAATAATTGTTCAAATAAATACTCTACTGCGTCCTTCGCCAAGTTACGTACGACCTATCCGGTCCCTCTAGACGAGCCATCGACTACTCCTTTCAATTATCTCATTAACCCAGGCACCTCCTCTTGATGTGATGTAAAGTAGCCGACTCTTTTTGTTCTTTGCAGTGTATTTTCCTTTGTTTCGTCCCTTGTGGTTTTCTTTTCTTGGGAAAATCTGAAGATATCAAGACCCTGCAGTGGATGACATGGTGACATGCCCCTCTATGAAAAAACTTGTATTTCGGATACAGATGTTAGCTCCTCGGCGAGTAACTCCAAAACCACACATGAGATACTCATTAGAATACCGGGCTTCATCATAGTATTTGCATCTCAGCCGGCACTGATACAACAAGTGTACAATGCAGATCAACACGAGGTTCACGTGTGGGCAAAGTTGCCGTTACGGGGAAGAGTAGGGACTGTCTAAGAGATGAAACTCTGGTGACGTTTTCACAGAGTGACGCCACCCAAAGGAAGTATCTTCGTTTTATCGCGTAAGAATCTGGCGCGATACTCGATAAGGCCTTGACTGATGGCCTGGAAATCTTTCACCTTGCGGTTGCGAAAGTCTGTAAGTAATTGACGAAGTCCAGCAACATACTGGTCCTGCTGCTCAACCTCAGAGTTGCCATAGGCCCCTAGTTGAACGATAATTTGATCATCTATTGCCGGTCGGCATGTTAGCGTCCCCTCCATTGGCATGCGCCTCGGCTCGTATTTGCCTGATGAGTCGATCAAAGATCTTGATGGCACGTACCCGGAAGCTGCATGTCCTCAAAATGCTGAAATTGGCACTCGCTGCCCCTAGGACAAACTTCGTGGGTAAGCTGATCAGGGCATACTTCCCGTGTTGCATCGATATTGTTGCTGTAAGTCAGGGATCGCAGACCCCCTGCAACAGAACCGCTGTACTGAGGATGGAAGCGGTAAGCCTTGAAGTACTGAAGAGGCGTTTCGTATGGGACGAATGTGGTTTCGGTATCATTGCTGACCTCTGAATGCTTCGAGATTTTCACCTGTATATCGTCAGCTCCGTTGTTCGCCTGGAAAGTGAGTGTATCTACTTCTCGATTAGATTCGGATTCTGAATCACCAGTGCCTGTTGATATAGGCTTAGTAACTGGTGTGGCTGTTGACAAGCCCTGCAAATCAGTATCACTCGTCTCTAGTACTGCGCTGTCATCCGACACTTGTTGGGATGATGGTTGACGTTGGATAGGTGAAGGTGGGTCTGGTAGACTGACAACGGCATCGGTTGGCTCATAGTCATCAGACTCATCTTCTGCCGCACTCTCCTCTTCACTAGAAGTAACAGCCTCGTCCATAGCTATGTCTTCTTCAGGCTCCTCGATATCAGTCGCAGATTCAACATCTACGCCAACGGTGCCATGTATCACTGAAGGATCTACTGGCAACGACGACTGGTCGTCGGCCGTTTCTCGCACTACTATGGATTCGTCGTGCATGTGTGATTCCCCTGGGCAAGCCATACTCCCCCCACGACTTTCCGCTAATACAACGCACGATGGTTCATCCATCAGTGCATCTTGTCCAGCTTCATCATGGGAGTCATTCATTTTGTCGTTTTGTGCTGGGGTTAAGGTGTCATATAGGGCGGGTACCTGCTGTGACATAACAACTGAGGAGAAATTAGCGTCGACATACACACAGGGGACGATGTCCACTGCCTGGGGATTACATACCAGGGGGCTCCTCCCGGACAATGACGGACTCAGACTCAGACTCGGACTCAGACTCATTCTGTCCTTTTGGCACTGGTGACAGTACTGGCTCGGCTTGGAGAGCATCCTTCCTAAGTCGCTCCTCCTCAACCAACTTGTTCTCAATTTCCTTTTTGACCCTATCAACCTCGGATTGAAAACGCTTGAGTTGTTCCTGGCATTCCATTCGTTGTGCTGTTACAATAGGCAGGCGCTCGCTGGCAACACGAGCACGCAAAGAAGGCCTAGCCTGCTGGCGTCCATCTCTGACTTTAGGCAATTTGGTGCTAGTATTATACGAAAAGCTGGACTGCGGTGCACTGGGTGCTGGGCTAGTTTGGACTGTTTCAGACGTAGTTAATAGGCCATGCTCTGCAGGCACAGAGGCGGCGTTGGCATCTGCACTGCCCTCTTTTGATTGTGCACCAGATTGAGGCAGTGGTGAGTTGCCACCTGATTGCTTTGCCTTCTTCTTACGAGCTTCAGCCTCAGCAATTCGTCGTCTCATATCTTCAATCTTCTTGTTCATACTAGCCAAGTCGATCATGCCGCTAGTACCACGAGACACGCCATCAGGCAAGGTCGTATTGTCGCGAAAGGACGATGTTCGTGAGCCAGGTGCCGTTGGTCGCTGTACCGAGGAAGCGCGCAACTCAGGAGAGTCTATGTCCATCTCAGCATCATCTTCATCATCGCTAACATCGATTAGGAAAGGACGGGATTCCCGGGCTTGACCAAAGGGGCGCTTTGGAATACTCGGTGTAGAATTCTCATTCAAGTCAGCTGCAACAGGCCGTTTGCGCTGACTTGGGGCAGGAGAAGGTGCATTAGAAGACAGGAATAAGCCAGGAATTGGGGGTCCCGTAGATGAATCCGCTTTTTCCATCGTAGCGTCAGTGTAATCATCGGGGTTCATTGGTTCGACCGGTACCTGGCTGTTTGATCTGCTTGTGTCAGGCACAGGCTGGGCTATCGAAGAGACCGGTAGTGTAGGAGCTTGAGTGGCCTTTGCACTTGCTTCTCGAGCTTTCATCAATGCCTCTATCTTTTGTTGTATCAGTTTCGACTTCTCTGATTGAGTCTTAGTCTTATCAGATTTAGTTGAATTTGGCGTATCTGTAGAGATTGGTCTCGATATGGCTGACTTGTTGGCATCTGCATCTGTTGGCACTTTGGAGCCTTTCGCTGCCAACAACCGTGCAATCCGGTCTTTTCGTTCTTCGGCCTTATTTTTCGCTGAATTGGCAGCTTTCGACTCAGTGTCGACAGCAAGGATAGTTGCCTGTGCTAAAGGAGGCACTGTCTCGCCCACATCGCTTCGTGATGACTCCCCTTGAACCGGCACAATCAAGTTTGACTGTTCCGGTCGTGGCACGGTAGTCTCCAGGTCAAGACCCAATTCCACAAACAGCTGGTCGAGGAGTATATGATCGACCCCTTCTTCGATATAGTTATGATAACGAACTTTGAGTGGCCAGAGGCGGAGGATTGCCTCTCGCGCGTGCTTCTTGGTCTCCGAAACCATTGCAGCCATGTCTCTGGCTTCGCCGTGATGCGACAATGTAGTGTTATCGCCATGGGGAAATACTCCGATTTTGGAATCATGAAAGCTCCTACCGGAGGTTTCTGCTGTTAATTAGCATCTCAGGAGTAAAAGTCAAGAGAGGGGTTTTGTGTACGGGTATTGGATGCACCATTTTCCTGGCCGCTCAAGTGTATCTCTCGAGGTGAGAGATAGGGCGAGTATGAGCCAGAACGCTCGCGCCCTGAATATTTCGAGTTCCATGTTTGTTGATTGTCCATATGAGGTCTGTTGCATTGATCGATGAGTTCGGATGGTTGGTCCTCACGTTTGCCAAATGTGTTTCTTTCGATCTCGCCAGGCTCGTAAATATCTTCCAGTTCGCCTTCGCTAAGCTCACCCTCTTCCATAGCATCATTGTCCACCCCAATATTAGGACGTTCCGTCGAACTTTCGGCTGCCATATTTCCATCAGCTGGCCCAGTTTGCCATGGGGCGACTGAAGTGCTAGGGCTAGTATAAATCCCGGAGAAGTTCTGGGGAGCCGGGGGCTGCCAGTTCGGGGCGTTATTAGCAAAGCGCATGCCGAGGCCTGGTATGGTCGTCTGGTTGTACTCGTATGCGTCCGTCACTCCTTGCCCATAAGTAGGCTGGCTCTCTATAGTCTCATTCGAATGGAAAGGCGATGGAATATACCCTTGATTCGTGGAATAGTTGTGCGGTTGCGAGGTTTGATATTCAGCATGGGGATTCCCATGACCATAGGCATAGTGGCTCATCGTCGAGAAAAGGCAGAATATGCGACGTCAAGGGTACTTCGGAGCATATGTTACCGCGTAAGTCAAGAGGAAAAAAGGCCTTGGTCGTTGTTGGTGAGATTACAAAAGCACGTGGTTAGCTGGTAATGCGAAAGGGAAAGCCAGCTGCTGGTGGTTCTCTCGTAACAAGCAAGGTTTCGACCCTCGAAAGGCGCTAGAGGCAAGAAATACCGAAGGAAAATCCAACCCGCCTGTAGTCAATCTATTTCTTACGTGCTGGACGACGTCAACGTTGAAAGCACTCGGTTCGCCGAAAACGCGACTTGATTGATATTTTTGAAGAAACCAGGATTAAATCTAATCTACTTAGGTCCTTTGAGCTACCGCGTTTAATCGCTTTAGGTTTAGCGCTGAGTAGCTAGATACGTCACGTGAGACCATCTTGTTTACTCTTACCGACAGTTCCCTAGCAACGCGCCAGGCTGATCCCTGATGTTGATGTCAGTCCGGAGTCGGCATTATATCCTCAAGACCTGCATTGCATTGATTGCTCTATGAAATGTTCATGAAAGGGTGAATCCCACTAAGTCGCACATTTTCGTTGCAATTGCAACTTTCACGTACCGAAGACCCAAGGCTCTTCTCTAGCCTGTTTCTTTATTCGTTTAATTTGTTTACTTGCGCAAGCGTACGACGTGGAGTTGAGTGTACTGCTTACAAGATCACGAAACTACGAATTGTTCATGCAGGCGCTTCATAATGTCTTTCAACGCCAACGGCACAGCGCATCGGCGCAGTAATCCTTTTGCCAGAACCCCGTCCGCCTCTCCGGCTACCAACACCAATCTTCGACCCAAGTCCGCCATCTTCTCCTCCCCCTCATCGACTCCCGGACTCGCTTCATCACTCGGACACAACCGAACACAATCAAATGGATCAGTCTCAGCAATAAGTCGAGAGTTCTCCGGCGCAGCGACGAGGCATCGTAGTGATTCGAAGAGTGGGACGCCAACTTCAACGACGTTCGCTCCATCGTTCATTAAAACCGAGGAAATGAAGCGTAGCCAGGACACAGTTAAAGGCATCGAAGGCGAGAACGACTTTTCTGGAAAGCGTTATGTCTGGGTTAAGGACCCCCAGGCAGCTTTTGTTCGAGGGTGGATCGTTGAAGAGTTGGACGGAAACCGACTGCTTGTCCAATGTGATGATGGCACAGTGAGTATCGTCTAGTACTTCGTATCTTGCGTTTTTTTTAACTGTTGCTAGCAAAGAGAAGTCGACGCCGAGACCGTTGATAAAGTAAATCCTGCCAAGTTCGACAAGGCAAACGATATGGCCGAGTTGACACACTTGAACGAGGCATCTGTTGTCCACAACCTTCATATGCGATACCAGACGGACTTGATTTACACATATTCGGGTCTATTCCTTGTCACGGTCAACCCATACGCGCCCATTCCGATCTATACCAACGATTATATCAACATGTATCGAGGGCGTAGTAGGGAAGATACTAAACCCCACATCTTTGCCATGGCAGACGAGGCTTTTCGGAACCTTGTCGAAGAAGGGAAAAACCAGAGCATCTTAGTTACTGGTGAGTCTGGTGCAGGAAAGACTGAGAACACGAAAAAGGTCATACAATACCTTGCAGCTGTTGCTCAGACGGATTCAACAACCAAGAATAAAGTTCAACACTCCAGCCTCTCTCAACAAATTCTACGGGCGAATCCCATTTTGGAAGCTTTCGGAAACGCCCAAACCGTTCGCAACAACAATTCCTCGCGATTCGGAAAATTCATACGCATTGAATTCACTCGAAACGGAGCTATTTGCGGTGCTTATATTGATTGGTACCTGCTCGAGAAGTCCAGGGTTGTGCATATTAACCAACACGAACGAAACTATCACATATTCTATCAACTTCTGAAAGGAGCCAGTTCTTCATTGAAGAGGGAATTCTTGATTGATGGCCTGACGGTTCAGGATTTTGTTTATACTCGGGATGGTCACGATACCATTGTGGGCGTCTCTGATCTTGATGAATGGGCGTCTCTCATGGAAGCTTTCAATGTGATGGGCTTTTCCGATGATGAACAAAAGTCCATTCTGCGAACTGTGGCTGCCGTGTTACATCTGGGAAACATCGACGTCGTCAAAGAAAGTCGAGCTGCAGATCAAGCACGACTTGCTCCAGATGCGAAGGAACAGGCCGCCAAGGTATGCAAACTTCTTGGTGTTCCCTTGGAACCCTTTTTGAGAGGCCTGTTACACCCCAAGGTCAAAGCGGGCCGCGAATGGGTTGAGAAGGTTCAAACGCCGGAGCAGGTTCGTCTTAGCTTGGACGCCCTCTCGAAAGGTATATACGAACGCGGTTTCGGCGATCTTGTTAACCGTATCAATGGGCAACTTGATCGCACTGGCATGGGTCTGGACGATTCGCACTTTATCGGAGTACTCGATATCGCTGGTTTTGAGATTTTCGAACAGAACAGCTTCGAGCAGCTGTGCATCAATTATACCAACGAAAAGCTACAACAATTCTTTAACCATCACATGTTCGTGCTCGAGCAAGAAGAGTATGCGCGTGAGCAAATCGAATGGAAGTTCATCGACTTTGGACGTGATCTACAGCCGACAATCGACTTGATCGAATTGTCGAATCCTATCGGTGTTTTCTCGTGTCTAGACGAGGACTGTGTTATGCCCAAAGCTACAGATAAGTCGTTCACAGAAAAGCTCAACTCTCTATGGGACAAGAAGTCAACGAAATACCGACCCTCGCGCCTCGGACAAGGTTTTATTCTCACTCACTACGCTGCTGAAGTAGAGTATTCTACTGAAGGATGGTTGGAGAAAAACAAGGACCCCCTCAACGATAACATCACACGCCTCCTCGCCGCTTCCACCAACCCACACGTCGCTTCACTCTTCTCTGATTGCGCCGAATCTGAGGAAGACCATGCTACTGGAAGGAGCAGAGTCAAGAGAGGACTATTTCGCACCGTTGCTCAAAAACACAAGGAGCATCTGCATAGCCTAATGTCACAACTTCACTCCACACACCCTCACTTTGTACGATGTATTCTTCCCAATCACAAAAAGAAGCCAAAGCAATTCAACAACCTTCTGGTTCTTGACCAGCTACGCTGCAATGGTGTCTTAGAGGGCATAAGAATCGCACGGACAGGTTTCCCCAACAGACTTCCTTTTGCGGAGTTCCGACAGCGGTATGAGGTTCTTTGCCAGGATATGCCGAAGGGTTATCTCGAGGGTCAAGCGGCAGCAAGTCTCATGCTCGAAAAGCTTGGTCTCGACCGTGCTTTGTATCGGGTGGGGTTGACGAAAGTCTTCTTTCGGGCTGGTGTTCTCGCCGAGCTTGAAGAGCAACGTGATGCTTTGATTACCGAGATCATGTCCAGATTTCAGTCCGTCGCTCGAGGATTTGTTCAGAGACGGGCGGCTTACAAGAGACTTTTCCGAACAGAAGCCACTCGGATCATTCAGAGGAACTTCAATGTATATATGGAATTGGCAGAAAACCCCTGGTGGCAGCTGATCGTAAAGATGAAGCCTCTGCTTGGTACAACTCGCACAGCAACCGAAGTGAAGCGGAGAGATGCAATGATCAAAGACCTCAACGAGAAGATGCGAGTGGAGTCTGAGAACCGTTTGAAACTGGAGGAAGAACGACGCAACTGTCATGCGGAGATGGTTCGTATTCAGCAAACCCTTGAAAGCGAGCGCGCACTAGCTTTGGATAAAGAGGAAATATTCAAACGCCTCCAACTTCGAGAAGCAGAGCTTGAGGAGAAGCTTGCCGGTGCAATTGAAGATCAAGAAAGGTTAGAAGACGAGTTGGACGATCTCCTGAATGCCAAGAACCGTGCCGAACGGGACGTGGAAACCTTCCGTTCGCAACTTGAGCAAGCTGCTACTTTGATCGCTAAACTTGAGGAGGAGAAGAACAGTCTGAGCACCAAGATTACCGAGCTTGAGCAATCAATCACTGAGATGACGCAGAAACAGGCGGAGCATAGTGAGCAAGAAATCGCGCTGCAAGACCAGATCAAGATGCTTCAGAGTCAGTTAGCTGTGAAGGAAAGAAAGGTCCAAGACTTGGAAACCAAGCTGGTCAAGCTTGATCAAGACCTGGAAGTGAAGCTTCACACAGCCCAGACGGATCTCCAATCAACTAAGCTTCGTGAAAGGCAGCTCTCCCAGGAGAATGAAGACATCCAGCAGCAGCTCAACGAGCTCTCCAAAACAGCCACTGAATATGAGGAGCTTGTACGCCAAAAGGAGAGTGAGCTCTCTGTTTTACGAACCGACAGCAAAAATTTCGAGAGCGAACGCCAATCCCTGGAGGATCAGAGGAAATCGTTGACCGCCGAGAAAGAGAAGAATGCCGAGAAGTACCGCGAAGCCCAGGCTGAGCTAGTTGCAATGAAGTCGCGTCAATCTCAACTCGAACGAGAGGCCGAAGATGCCAAGAAGCTTCTCGAAGCACGCCTGTCTGAGGATGCTCAAGCCGATCAAAACCGCCAAGTCCTGGAATCTCAAACTAAAGATCTCAAGGACGAGCTTTATAAGACACAAATGGAGCTCAGCCGTGAGCGTCAATCACGGGACGATGTGCAACTACTTGGCGAGCACCGGTATCAGGAGTTGAAAGACGAGTTCGATCGCCTCAACGAATCTAAGATCATCATCGAGAAGGAGATGTATGCCCAACAAGACACCCTGCGAAGAACGATGGAGGCCCGAACCACGGCTGAAAAAGAACGGGATGAGGCAAGACAAGAAATCCGCCGTCTTCGTGTTGCCAAGACACAGGCTGAGGAAGCAAGAATGCAAGCCGAAGTTGCTGGCGAGCGACAAGCTTCCAAAGCAGCTCAAGACCGTGAAAATAGCCTTCGAAAGGACCTCGACGCTGCCCAAGAACGACTTCACTGGTTTGAAGGGGAATGTGCTAAGCTCAATCACCAGATTGAAGACCTCAACAAGTTGATACTGGAATCAGGCGAATTTGGCTTGAAAAACGATCAGGCCAAAGAAAGACTGGAGCGAGAATTGACTACTGTTAAGAGTCGGCTAACCGCATCGGAGAATGACAACAGAGCTCTGCTGAACAAGTTGCAACAGAAAGGTCTAGAAATTGCTCGCTCGAGTTCGCGCGCAAGCGAAGCTTCTCGAGGTCAGATCCAGTCCCTCCAGCGCGAAAAGGCACGACTTGAGGAACAAAACACGAAACTGAACAAGCAACTGGGCGATTCTCAACTAGCTATTGCGTCACTTGAAAAGAGGGCCGAGAAACTCCAGCTCAACTTGGAGGATCTGAGCCATGAGGTTGCTCGAGAAGTCAAGTCAAGTAGAAATGCAGAAAAGGCAACTTCCACCTTCAATGCGCAACTTGCTGAAGCCAACCGGAACATTGAATCAGAACGACAACAACGAGCTCAAGCTCAGACCACCGTTCGTACTCTCCAATCGTCTGTTGATTCGCGAGACAAGGAGATCAACGAGCTACGTGCTCAGATGCTTGACGTTCTAAGGACAGTTGATCCAGAGGTCCACATCCCTCCCCAGTCAGATGGTGCTGATGAGAAAGTTCTTATTCAGAACTTTGATCTTGTCAGAAAGGTCGAAGAGCTTCAACAGAATCTTCGTGTGCAGACAGCAGCTAGAACGAATGCAGAAAACCAACTTACTGAGATGAGGGCTTCTCGGAATGAATCTCCAACTAGACCCAAGCTTGAAGAGATTCAGCTCAACGAGGCACCCTTCCAAGCGTCACCTACTCAAAGACGAGCGACTAAATTGCACGCTCGAAACCACTCCAGTACTTCAACCCCGACGCGTCGTTTCCAGGAACTGGACCACCTTCAAGACTCAACACGTTCTGATCGGACAATTGACACACTAAACTTCAACAATCGCATGGATCTTAAGGCCGAGGTTGAGGAACTCCAGAATCAGCTTCAACTCAAGGAAATGCAGAACCGCCATCTCCAAAGCCAAATTGATCGCAGCACGCCTGTGCCAGAGAGTCACGACGAAAGCCCCTCTCTACGCCGCATCCAAAAGCTTGAAATGGTCAACACCCGTCTTCACGAAATGCTTGATGACTCTAACAAAAAGGTGTCTGCTCTGGAGCGCACAATTCGATCTGGTCAACTGTCTCTACGGGATGTCCAGACCCGAACGCATGAGGAGATTCTGGAAGTACTTAATAGCCAGGAGGATTCTCGGCGAGCTTTGGTTCATAGTCACAAAGATGCTGTGGCGGAGTTGACTGATATCAAGGGGCACTTCGAGAGACTGCGTCATGATCGCGCTAAAGCAGAAGTTGAGCTACGCGATGTCAAGTCTGATCTAGAAGAGATGACTCTAGCAAGAGAGCAAGAAGCGCAGAGCCGAAATCAGCTTCTTCAGGAATACGCAGACCTTCAAATCCGACTCGACGCTGAAACCTCGAGGTTTGCCGATGTCGCTTCCAGTCTCGAAATGTATAAGAGCCGAGCAGACGAATACTTCAGCAAACTCGAACAGGCAGAGATCGCCGTCCTCAAGGCTAGTCGCGCCGAGCAATTTGCCAGGTCTCAAGCGAAAGAGGCCGAGGACACATACGTGGAGATTATGGCCGAGCGTGAGAAAATGGATACCACCATCGAGGATCTTCAACGTCAGAACCAGCATCTCGAGGAGAAAGTCGAAGATGTATCAACTGACTTGGCAGCTGCTACTCAAGCTAAAAAGAGACTTCAGCATGAGCTTGAAGACTACCGAAACCAACGAGCTATGGAGATTGAAGACAAGGAGTCAAGTATGGAGCAGACTCGCAAAAAGTATCAGGCTGAGTTCGCCACTCTGACCAACGAGCTTGATCTTGCTCGTGAGGAGAAGCTTTTCAAGCAAGCCGAGATTGCCCGACTCCGCGAGGAGCTCGACGAGCTGAGATCCAAATGGGATGATGAAGTTCTCAACAGCTCAACCTGGTCTAAGGAAAAGGCTCGTTTGGAGTCCACTTTGGCAGATGTCGCTTCTTCCCGCGACGAGGCGGTAAATGCACACAATGAAGCACAAGGCAAGGTTGTGACCCTCTTGTCACAAGTCCGTACTCTACGCTCTTCAGTGGATGAGATCACCGCAGAACGCGACCATCTTATTCGAGAAAAACGCAACGTTGAGACGCGTCTCGAGGAGGCCAAATCTGGCTTGGAGGATCTCGTCAAGGGAGAGAGTCCATCCTTGCGCAACGCCGCCAATATGGACAAGGAGATTCTAGATCTCAAGTCAAACCTTGCCCAGCAAGAAGACATTGCGGCTGCTGCCGTAGAGAAGATGCGCCGTACCGAAGCTCTTGTGGCAGAGGTTCAAAAAGACGTCATGGTTGAGCGAGAGAATAGCATCAAGTTACAACAACAAAAGGCATCGCTTGAGAAGATTCTCAACGAAGCCCAGCTCAAGCTGGTTGATCTTGAGACCAAGGGCTATTCGAGTGCCAGCCAAGATGTCAAGTTCCTACACAAACGTATCCAAGAGGTAAGTCACCAAATCTATGCATTAACACCTGTATCACGGCTAACATCACACAGCTTGAATCCCAACTCGAAGACCAGGAGACTGAGCGTAGTAAGTCCCAGCGCTCCGTTCGAAATGTGGATCGAATTGTGAAAGATATGCAAGGTCAAATCGATCGCAAAGATAAACAAAACATGCAGCTCTCCGATGATGTCTCAAGGATGCGCGACAAGGTCGAGAAGCTTCTGAAGACTATCGAAGAGTTGCAATCATCCGAATCCAACAACCAGTTGTCGGCTCGGCGTGCTGAGCGTGAACTCCGGGAGGAGAAGGAGAGGGCTGTCCGATTGGAACGTGAACTGGCAGGTCTGAAAACCCTCCGCAACGACAAAGGGTCAGGCAGCGTTATGGGTAGTGTTCGTAGTCGCATGGGCCCCTGGCGGGTCAGCGAGGGAGACGATGCGTCCATGATCGACGTTCCAGGAAGGAAGAGCAGCCTTAGTAGGGTCCCCAGTTTTACAAAGGGGTTTCTTTAAGCAGGGCGATGGGCATGAGAAGTTTTGAGGATTGGGATAAGGGTGCATGGTCATGAGGCGTTGAAGCATTGTTCTCGTTTATAGGGACTGTAATGGTTGTTAGGCATGGGCGGTGGGTATAAATGATGGCGGGTAGTTTATTATATGGATGGTTTCGCCAGCGCGTTGGATGTACTTTACGCAGGGTTAATTTTGAGCTTGTACTGTCACATGCTCACAGTAACGAGGGGTTATATTGTTTCAATTCTGCTCATGGCAGCTTTTATAAAATCAATGCAGTACGTACAGCACTACATTATGTGCTCGACTCTAGTGATTTCCATGACTACTCCGGATGGCCTCCAAACTTTGCGGCGCAATTGCAGATGTTTCCCCCCTCAGCGTTGTTACAGCGTATCTTACATACCGACACTACAGCATACCTGGTACACTTGATTCAAGTACACAAGGTACTCCCTTTCATTTTTCATCCTCTTCCAAGGCACCTGAAGGTTTCTGGGGCTTTTCCATTCCAAGCTTGCCCATGAGCTCATCCATGAGCTCTTCCATCGCCTTCTCGTCCTCGGGATTCACTGACCCGGGCCTGCGAACAGCTGCTTGAGTTCGCTCCCTTAATTCTGCGATGGATGAGAGATCAAAGGCCCAGGAAATCCCTCCAATCAGCATAACGCCAAAGCTCATGACATTTAGGGTAGCAAGTCCGAGGGCCTGGACAGCGAGTAGGGACCGCTCTGCCGAATCAATCTTCGCAGGGGCCCGGTTGGAAGAGTAAAACTTGGGGAACGAGCTCTGACGCATCCGTAGCACTGAGCGGCGAGACACGGCTACTGATGCGGCAAGAAAGCCTGCTCCGGTGAGCAACAGGCCGAATTGTCTAAATGAGCGTTCCCATGTTGATTGGTAAGGTGTTGGTCTCGATATGATTTGTGAAGCTGATGGAGTTGATTCTGAGGATGAGATAGGCGCATTTTTTGGTGGAGTCTGAGGGGCTGGAGTAAATGTTGTTTCCTGGTCCTGTTGAGGCGTGGGCTTGCTGTCAGAGGCAGGAAGACCAAGCCACGAGCTAGCTAATGAAGCAAGGATGGGCATTTTGACTTTATTTTTCTCGCCTTGTTCAGCAATCGAGAGCGGTTCTGATGATGTGGTGTTGAAGTCGATTTTCAACACTAGCTAGGTACTATTCTAGGTAGGCATGCTACGGGCAAGGATAGGTACTTGATTAGCCTCTGCATAAGGTAACAGACCCCGCTCATTGCATAGGTAGGTAGGTAGCGTTTTCATAGACGCATACCATAGGTAGGATCTGACCTAGGTAGCTACTAACATAGCGGTGGTTAACAGAAGAAATGGCCTCTAAAGCTTAGGCTGTCCAAATCAGATAGCCTAGATGCTGCTGAAAGCTGGCATGAGATGATTAAACTAATTCGTCTCTTATGCTTAGGTACGGCAGCCAATTCTTCTGATCCCCTACCTACAGTCTACTAGGTACCTATCTCTTGTAATATGCCCGTTAGTGGGGGTATTTAGGTACTGCTTTATATCAGCCGGGTTAGCACGGTTAGCACCAAGATAGTACATAGCCTCATCCATTCTGTTATCACTTGTCGTCTGATGCACAACTTCCCTCTAGTTTCCGAGTGAGTATTGCAAACATTTAGTACCTACCTATCCAACTATTTCGTCATCATGCCAAAGCCAAAGAACAAGGCATCCAAGCCAGGCAAAGTAGAAGCTTTAGCGACAACATCACAAGTTCCACCATCATGGCCTGCTTTCAAGCCGCCTCTGCCTGTAGTCGACCTTTCTCCCGAGCCGCATCCTCTAACATCAAAGGTGGTTCTCATACCTTCGTTCTTCCCTCGAAATCTCTGTCGTGAGTACGTTGGTTTCCTCAAGACCTTGCCTCTCCAAACAACTCCTGGTCGCCCCAAACGGGGCGAGGCAGTGAGAGTCAACGACCGCTTCCAGATTGACAGCCAGGATTTTGCCATGCGATTGTGGGAGAAAACCGGCTTGAAGGAGGCTTTGCTCGAGGGTGATTTCAACGACAAATGGTAAGTTCCCTCAGTTGACTTAACCTTTATGCGGCTTTACGTACGGTACAAAGACAGCCAGAACATGATTTCTTGGTTCGCAACTCACACTGAGTAACTCTCCGCTGATAAGATACATCTCATAGGGGCGGCGAACCAGTCGGACTATCCCCGAATATTCGCATATATCGTTATTCAAAGGGACAATTCTTCGACTGCCACTGTACGTGCTAACCTCTCATGATTTGTGGTTCTACAACAAGCCCTCGACCCTCTTCACTTTACCCGACGTCGAGATTTAGTCTCTCACATATACTATATATCGGTTCATTTGCTCTCTACGATCATGGCAACTCATCATTGTATCTATTAGACGACGACTCCAATACTCTCACCCTGCCACTCGACCCGCCAATACCGGTTAAAACCACGTGGACCCTTCTTCTCTATCTAACATCTGCCGCAGAAGGCTGTGTCGGAGGCGAGACAGTGTTTTACCCAAGGGATCGCAGATCACCTCGAGAGGAGATTGCCGTCCCCCTTGACACAGGCATGCTTCTTCTACACAAGCATGGCGATGACTGTCTTCTTGTAAGATTCTTCCTCTTAGTTTTCTGTGTCATACAGAGACCTTTATCCCAAAGACTACGAATTCTAGCTGACCACGGCGTTTCCATCTAGCACGAAGGACGAGAAGTTACTGCAGGCGAGAAGTGGGTGATCAGGACTGATCTATGCGTAAGGCGGTAGATTCACTGCCTAAACGATCCCAGGTTTTCGAATAGCTTTCTAATCTACGTCCACATCAATTGGCCCATATTCGTCTTCCAGCCAGTCTACCCGTTGATCAAGTCGTCTAAGCGATCGATGGCATCATCATTTTCCGATTCCTCGTCCTGCTGTGAGTCGACTTCACGTTGACTTCCGTCACTCACGCCCTCATCTCCCTTTTCCTCGTTGGCGCCATTTTCTTCTTCTTCTGCGGAAGCCACTTTCTCCGCAATACATGGAGTGTTTGTCGAGCGGGCTTCTTCTTCCGCAGAGCGATGGTCCTCAATTGGCATGACATCGCGCAAGGTGGAATGTTGAGCCGTATCATATGTCCTGAAACTGGTCTTGGGATTAACAGCACCATCCGTTGCAATGCGACACATCACCCCATAGAAGATCCAAGGAAAGCTAATGAGCGGCATTGATCTTGGTTCCAGCTTGCGAGGTTGCAGAATGGTTCCTGCGTCGTTGATCGGTTCTTGGTCGTGTTCTGACAGTGCAGCTTTGACCTGTTCCTCAGTGACAGTGTACATAGCAGCGACAAACGGCTCAATGTTCTCGGCTTGTTTGCCACCCGCAGCCTCGATGCAGATGTCCTGGTAATGTTCTTTGAGACTGCGGAATTCGCGGTCGAGGTCCTCTCGAATCTTGTAGTCCGAACCGACAGCAGGCTTAGTCAAGGCGAAACCAGTATAGAGCTCGAATTCGGTTTTTAGTGCATGTTGACTCAAAAGCCGACGCACAGCTGTATCGTACTCTGCTTTGATCTTGCTTGCTGATCTGAGGGTATCGCTATCGAGTTGAAACTTTTTGGTAATACGTTCATCGAATGGACTATCCCAGACAGGGTTGAAGTCAACTGTCTTATGAGCGACCCTGTCAAAAATAACACCAAGGGCCTTTCTCGAGTGGTAGGAGTTCTTCTTCTCCATAAAATGAGGCCATTTACGAGGCTGTTGATCGCGCCTTAGAATCGCTGGATCACCGGTCTTGGGATAGTCGACTGCTTTGGAGTGCAACTCTGCAAGCTCCAGACCTAGATGTGATATTAATAGAACACCTCGACGCAGGATGCTGTGATGACTTACACTTGGGTGATTTCGGTCCTAGGTTATCCGACAAAGCCAGATGGGATGTTGCGATGAGTGGGAGTTTGTCGTTCTTTAGGTACTTCACAAAGAAATTTCTGAGATCATTAACACCAACGTTCCGGTCCAGCTCAATGGGGGCTGGGGGAGAGTAGTTCATGGGTGGGTAATTCCACTCATTGGGTATCAAGCTCGATTCCCATATGACAAAGAAGTCATCACCGTCAAGATCGCCGCCTGACAGCATGTTGGGTACAGGTCGATCTCCAGTTGATGGAAATACGACAACATCCTTGAGATGATACAGTCTCTTGCAATCCACTGCTTCGACGACGCGGATGTCTCCTGGATGAAGTGACGGGTTGCGTCCCACAATGCACACTCCACGGATAATACAGGTCTTGTTATAGTTCTTTGGATCGCTGACCTGCAGGAATATCTGCGGAAGTTTATCGACAACCTTCTCTTCGGATCCCTCTGTGTCAGAAGAATGCCCTCGGAGAGTGCCAGTCTCATCAACACAACCGAGAACAAAGGCACTCTTTTGCACTTGGATACGGGCTTTCTCCTTTAACGACTTGATGGACCATGACCGCCAAAGATTAATGGCATTGACTACAAATGGCTCCTGTAAGGTCTCGGTTCTGAAGTCAGCTCTGAGTAAGCTAGCAAGGCAGGAATGGCTCTGCTGCTCATCACGAAATTTGTCCAACATCTCAATTGCGACATCGTTGTCGCTCGTAGCCAGTTCATATTGTTTTAACTGCTGGGCAAGCAAATTAGTAAACGAACGCGTGGGAACACCAAGACTCTCCAAGATCGTGATGGTTTGTCGATTTAATGTGGCTGTCGCTAGCCTGGCCCATCGAATAATCTCAAGTCCCTTGGATTCGGACTCGAACTTCTTCTGTGATTCGCGAACGTGTACCTCCATGCCTTTGGCGTCGTCAGGCCAAATAGTAAGCACGCCCTTGCAACCACCCATTCGAAATTGAAACGCGGAAGGATCCGCACAAACATCCAAAGCCATGTCCTCGACAATCAGTTTAGCAAGGAATCTGGATATCTTGCCGACACCATCGGTGAAGCAGTAGCCATTTCTCTCGATGTCAGGTATCTGGAGGGTGTCTGGCGAAGAGATGCCGCGAACATCACGGGTAGTAGAGAAACACTGCCCAAGCCGCGCAGCGTATTTTGCCGCGACTCTTATGTGACTAAATTGGCCCATCCACTCGCGAATTTCGGCGCAAGATGTGTGCTCTGTAGGGCAGAAGAAGTAGGCCCCGTTCACTCGGAGCTGTGAGTTACCGAATGCAAGGAATTCGTATAAGCGGTCACCTATGCGAATACCTTCGTACATTGTACGTAGAACCTTCTTGTATATCTCATCATTTTGATCCTTGTTCACTGCGATCCTTCCTTTCTCCAGCTCCTCGGTGAATTGAATCCTAAGAAACCGATCTTGGATATGCTTATATCGACGCATTACTCGATTGGATACCTCAATATTGGGAGTAGTATAACGGACTGTGGTGGGAGTGATGACTACCTTCCGGACGAGGCAACAGTATGAAGGAACTCGTGAAATCGATGTATAATTGTCCCCATTATCGCGTTGGGAGTCAAAAGTCGACATAGGATCCGCCGTCATTGGATGACCCTCATGTACTACCCGCGCAGCTGCGAACTCAAGGTAAATCTTCGCTCTTTGCGGTGGCATACCAGCAAGTGTGTCCAGAAACTCTTTTGTGATTTTGTGTTCGTTAAGCTGACCTTGGGAGATACAAACTTCAAGCTGATACCGGACTTCGAAGGGGAGGTAAACAACTGGATCTTCGTAGTAGAGACTTAGTACCTGGCTTGCATTGCGCCCATGAGCAGAAGCATCATGGTCCAAGTATTTCCACATATCTGCATGTTCTCCGTGAGTGAATCGGAAGTCATTCCGGACTCTAGCGGCAATGTTGAAATCGTGCAGTGCGCCGACCAGTTGTCGATTGAGATTCTTGGCCTCTTCCGTTTTGTCATCGAGGATAAGTCGAAGAGTGGTCCAGCGGCCGATATCGATGAAATCGGAACCTTTGTAGTCGTTATTCAAGGCGATAGGGCAGTTCATAGTGAGGCCGACTTCCTCGACAATGTCTGTAGCGCGGTTCCAAGTCTCCATAGAGCTCCAAGCGTTGACATTGTTGGCGAAAGTAGAACGTACGTTAGATGTCTTCCAATAGTACTGAGGAGGCCGCTCGAGGGGAATCACAAGAGCACAGCAATCGCTGTCAGTTGTCGTCTGGTAGAGATACTTGATCGCAGAAAAGTCGATGGCAACTTTGTGATGCCTAATAGCCTTCACTCCTCCTGATACAATCATTCTGGGAAAGAATATTGTCAGCTTTTGATGCTTGAGACTTAGTTCAAGCTTGAGTTGCTGTCCACCGCCTGCTCCCTTTATAGACTTCAGGACCTTCATTGAATTCTCTTCCAACATAGTCCCAAACTCAAGGGTTATTGGGTACAAAGTCGTTTTGATAGGATGCTGCCGGTCTTTGCATACCGGACTCCTAATGAAGCATTCCGGATTCTGCCTGCCTAGATTGACAAGAAGCTCAATATACTCAGAGCCTCGTTCCGGGTCAGGGTGTGGAACAAGGCAGGCACCAGTACTCCAGAAGTCTTTTTTAGGAGGTGGCTCAAACCTGATTTTGCCATTTTTGCGCGCAGGGTCCTCTGGTGACTCGTTGATATCTATGTATGCGATTTCACCTTGACCAGAGAACCAAGACCAGAGATTGGAAAGCGTGACTGATGCAGGCATATTGATGTGAACGGTGAGCTCAGGCCATGATAGCCATGTTGGCCGAAGCTCAGAAGCAATATTGTTGGATGCTGGACGGTTCCTGTTGTTTCTCGGGTTCTCCCGATTTCCGCCCTTTAGGCCATGGTTTTGTTTCGGGTTGCCGACAGACCCTCTCGAAACTTCGTGTGAGGGGCCCTGTGTGTTCATGGTCGGGCTCTGCATAAGATCTAGGGCGTTGTCAACTCGGGTATTCTGAAAGGGGGGAAGCATCAGAATGAAATTGTTATCTGACGCGAAAGATATACTCACCAGTCCTTGATCATTCGCTGCCAATACTCTAGCTTATGATGTGAGAGTGTGGAAGTAGAGGATTTAACAAGAAGGAATGTCAGACGATGAAGGATATTCGGTCTGCTGTGGCAGTGATTCATGAAGGGGCTTGGATGCATGCGAGAGTTTTTGTTTTGTAGAACTGTGCAGAAGATATTCGAAGTGGTAGTCACCGGAAATTTCTTTGCACCTTCCTTTGGTGCGCCAGCTGTAGGCACCTAGAAGATGATGGAGAGCAATCGCTGCCTGCAGCTTTCCGTTGATGTTTGTTGTTTGGCTTGACAGTGCATACAACATCTAGTTACTAGTGCAACAACTGAACTACCTATACCTACTGGGATTGCCTCATTACACGGTTACACCTTCCCGTCCGGATAGGTACACAGCGGTTATAATGCCAAATGTAGGGTGGTAGGTTAAGGTATGTTTCAGATTTCGAAAAACTGACTGTCTTTTGTTTTTTTTCTCAACTCAAGCCAAGTCCTTCACTATACGGTTTGGTGTCACGGCCGTGTTTGCTCCAGGATAAGCAGTGTTCTCCCATGGCACATCGATGATCTTCCCAGGGTTTAAAATCCACTTGGGATCGAATGCCTTTTTCACTGATGCCATGACAGCCAGAGTCTCTGGTCCAACTTCCCAGAGCAGACTCTCCTTCTTTCCCCATCCGATGGAGTGTTCTCCTGTACAGGTACCATCCATGTCAAGCGCGCGCTTTACCATGTTTTTGACACACTCTTCAACCTTTTGGCGCTCACCGGGTACGTTCTTATTGTACATGATACTCTCATGGAAGTTGCCATCACCAACGTGGCCGAGGATACTGGCGAAGAGACCGAGCTCGTCCATCTCCCTCTTGCTGACTTCTATAATGTCAGCTAGGCGACTGAACGGAACAGCTACATCAGTGCTCCCTGAAATGATCGTTGATTAGCATGGACCCTATACGAAGGGATGACATTTGCTAGTATAGCAAAGCAATGGAAATCGACTCACAAACATCATCACCACTCTTGCGCAAAGAAAGCATAGACCAGAGCGATTCTTTCCTAGCAGACCATAGTAGCTGTTGCTCAGCAGCATCCCGAGCAAATTCAAAGTCACCACCCTTATTGGCCGCAGCAATCTTTCTCACCCTACTGATGTTATCTTTCACCCCCTCTTTAGTTCCTGAGAATTTAAAGAAAAGAGTAGGCGATTCTTTCCATACTCGAGGTTTCGTGGCACCACCAAGGTTGATGACTCTCATCTGGACTTCATCCATGATCTCCATGGCCGCAACAGGAATTCCCGTCTGCATAACTCCGGCTGCAGCGGCTGCAGCATCTCGGATGGTGGGGAATGTGACAACAGCAACCGAATACTGCTCCGGTATAACTGCTAGCTTCAAGGTGGCTATAGTCGTCAGCTATAGTCGAACTTCGGTTTTGTGGAAGCATCATCGTGTATCGTACCTTCTGTGATGATTCCCAGAGTACCTTCGGAGCCAACAAACAAACTGTTCAAGTTATAACCAGCTGACGACTTGCGTGGTCTCCTCCTTGTCTTGATGATACGCCCGTCAGAGAGGACGACAGTCAAGTTAATGACCCAGTCCTTCATCGTGCCGTACCTAACAGCGTTTGTGCCAGAGCAGTTCGTTCCTATCATACCTCCTATCTTTGCGGATGGGCCTTGAATTCTTTCGTCAGTTATCAAATATGCCGAGGTCTACGCAGGGCTCGCCACATACCAGGGTCCACAGGAAAGAATAATCCACTGTCCATCTGTAAGAGTTTGGCGTTTAGGTCCTGCCAGCCAATACTAGGCTGCACGACAATATCCATGTCATCCTTATTGAATTGGATGATTTGATCCATGTATGCAAAGTCCACACTGACTCCTCCATACGGGGCAGAGAAGTTTCCTTCCAAGCTTGACCCTCCAGAGTAAGGGATGATGGGAACGCGATGCTCATGGCAAATCCGGGCTATCACAGATACGTGTTCTGTTGTCCTAGGGTATGCCACAGCTACGGGTAAGGTGTCGGGATTGACCGTAGACCACTCAGAGTATCCATGCGCCAGCAAATCCTCTGGGTCTGTTGAGATGAACCCTTCTACGCCCACCTCTTCCTCGATCCGCTGAATAGCCTAGTTTCACGGTTAGCTCATTACCACCATGGTGTTCCTGGGTCAATTTGCCTTCTCCATCTCAGATACATTAGCATACTGAGGCTCAGATGACTTACTCCAGGAGGAGTCAACACCACCATTCAAGGTAGCAAGTCCCCATCCAAGGACTCCTGCCCCAAGTGCAACTGCAAGAACTTTGGGTTGAGACCATCCCGAAGCCTGGTTTGATCCATTCTGGGTAACGCTCTTTGCCTCCAGGGCACGAACACGAGGAGTGAGCCGAAGGCCTCGTCGCCCATTCACCCTATGAGCTTGACGGCTCAGCAGAGCTCTAGTGGTGGTTCTGCTGGCAAACATTGGATGGCGTTCAAGTCGTAGACAGCTTCGTTGTAAACAGCCCGGGCCCCCAATCGGAGGTATGTGGAACCAATATCAATATGTTACCCGAGCTCAAACTCTATCCTTTTTCTAGATGGTAAACTCGGATGCGTCAATGTTTTCCTCAACCCTTGCGAGCAGTGATGTTTGCCGAATCTAAGCGAATCTGTACCGAAATGCCGAGAGCAAAATGTGAGATAGAATGAGCAGGACAACCAGAACCCTTCGTCCCAAGTAACAAAGTGTGGGAGATAACCATCAAGAGAAAGCCGGAACCGGAGACGACATCGATGGGGCTGGCTCTCACTTATAAGGACCTACTAGTCTCAATAAGCATCGTGGGGCAACCAGTAAGTGAATCTTAGCTCAAAGGGTCCTCTTCTACTACGTGGTAAGCGTTAGCTTCGCTGATGCAGTCCCGATGACCCCATTGCCGTGCCGAAGAGAGTAGAGAAATGACTCTCCGTCGCTGATGAACGCTTGCACAAGCAGAGCAGGTAACAAACTAGGTAGTTAGGCAGCATGTCTATCTAACATGAACCTCACTAGTTTGGTCATTTAGAGGGTCGAGTGCTACAAAAGGTGACTGAGCACACGATCCATCATCATTCATAGGCATACCCAGGTGTTGTGCGTATACGCACTTGCCGCCGTACCTACTCGAGGAGGAGAATACGGCATACCTAAATCGCTGAGCCTCAACCAGCGAGTTGGACTGAATGGCATTGCTCCCCACGCATTAGACTTGATTGTCACTCAGCTGCACATCGCAGGAACAAGATGCATGAGACTTGCATTGTCAAATCGCAGATCCGAGAAGCCCAGCCATCATTCAGCACTGCATAGCATAGCCGATGAGAATCTGACAGACACTGCAGTGGCTGTAGTTCTCATTAGTCATGCATTTCCGACCCTGTGAGTAATTACGACTCGATGTCCTAAAACGACATGGGTTTTCCCCGCTCCCTAAAACCGTCCGGCTTGCTGGCCGAGCCAGCAGTTGCACAACACAAGTCGACTCGATTCCAAAGTGTGGGAGGAGGGTGTGGAGAGAAGCGTGGAGAGAAGCGTGGAGGGGAGAGGAAAAGAGCCCATTTGGTTATACCAGGTAGGTATACATAGGTGTTTGGAAGCTCAGCGGATCAAGCAGCTAGCTCAATGGAGAAGTCAGGATACGGTCTGACTACCAAGGTGGGAGAGTTGACCTAATTCTGTCATTTCTCATCATAACAATCACCTATGCTCCTGATGAGCGTGGGATGAGCAAGGAATACGAATGGGACTTCGCCCACGTCCGACACACTGCCCTACGTCTTGGCCAGTGAAACAAACATATTGCTACGCATACTCAACCTTACACATTCAGATCAACTGACCACTTTCATGTGTGGTATACGAAATTGTCTTGATAGTCTTGGTTCACAACACATTCGTTAGTGCAGGCCTACAAGGCGGGCCACAAGTGGTTGAGATGACACTGGTCATTCGCAGTCACTGAACGAGGGAAGCATCTATCTGGAATCGACACTTCGTATTGGGCTTAAATTCATCTTTTATCGTAGCCTCTAGAGGGCTGGCTATCTCCATGGTAGTTAAAGCCGCAAAGCAAACGTCAAATCCGAGACTCCAGACCACATGCCATTTTTTACCATTCCTATCGCAAATCCACAATTTAGTGAGAGATGGCGTAAGCACGTCGGCGGTCACGCTCCTCGGCGATGGTGAGCTTGACACCCTTGCCCTTGGGCAGAGAGATCCAGGGCTTGTCCTGGCCAATGACGAAAACGTTACTCTCACGGGTGGCGAAGCTGTTGTCAATGGCATCCTTGACGTGGACGATGTTAAAACCACCGTCGTGGCGCTCACGGTGAGTGATGACACCAACACGACCCATGTTACGACCACCAGTAACCATGACGACGGCGCCGGTGTCGAACTTGATGAAATCGGTGATCTTGCCGGTGGCGAGCTCAATCTTGACAGTGTCGTTGACCTTGATCAGAGGGTCAGGGTAGCGGATGCTAGACAATTATGTTAGCAAAGATTTGGGAGGGTACATACAGCCGTCAAATAAAGCTCATGTCTTGTCGGGTGACTTGAATCGACCAAAGCATGATCCAACGGCTGAATGATGTCTGACAGAACTCACGTTCGTGCATCGTGCGTGACCAAGAATGGGATTCCACCGCGACCAAGCTGGACACGCTTGACCTTGCCCAGCTTGTACTCGGCCTCCTCGGCCTGGATTCGGTGGACAGTGAATCGGCCCTTGGTGTCGTAGACAAGACGGAAGTTCTCGCCAGTCTTCTCGATGGTGATGACGTCCATGAAGCCAGAGGGGTAGGTGGAATCGGTGCGGACCTTGCCATCGACCTTGACAAGTCGCTGCATCAGGATGGCCTTGGTCTCGCGGTAGTTGAGAGCATACTTGAGTCGGTTTCGGATGAAGACGATCAGGGGCATGCAGTCGCGGAGCTTGTGAGGACCGGCAGAGGGCTTGGGAGCGTAGGTGCCGGACAGCTTGTCAAGCAGCCAGTGCGAGGGGGCGCTGAGGCGCTTCTGGTGCTTCTTGCTATTGAAATGGTCAGATGCTGAGTCTCCAACAGCGGGACGGTGGGAGAGAAGCCCAAATCATATTTCGCTTTTGCAGTCGCTGCGATGATCGTTCTTCCTGCTGTTATACTCACATTCCGCGGGCCATGGTATCGGTTGGCTGGTTTGTCGGCGGTGATGAGGAGGATGGACGAGGGACCTACTTCACAAGGAACAAATCTCGAGAATAGGATTGACCACACTTTTTTTCGCTTGGGGGTTCGTGCCCTAGGTGAAATTTCGAGTTAAAAGTGGGTCTCGATTTCCAGTCATGTGACCCACTTCAGAATCCAATTGACTGAAGAGTAGGTACGACATGGCCTCGGCCTTAGTACTAAGGTGGTGGTAGTAGTATCTTTAGGTATGCCTTCCACTTATGATACATGGCTCTGTTGTCAATAAAGCCTCGGTCTTTGCATTTGTATCCCGAGCCGCTTTGGCTCAGTCTTATTGATACTCAACTGGCGTGCTCAAAAAGCAAGCCGTCTCTGGTGTTGTGTTAATGTATTGTAGAATTTGCTATCATACAACATTTTCTTAGCCAGTGAGGAACCCAAATCATTATTCCTCCAAGCAACATGTGATACCTAAAGCCACATAAAGGAACGACACTCAGCGCGTGCTTTGTGTCCTTGTCCAGAGCCGTTTGTATCTTTCAATCTATGTACGCCTGATGCCAATCCCATTGAAACAATTTCCCCAACTCCTGTCCTATCAGGACCCTCATGATCTCTTGACATAACGACATGTTGTTCATCGTATAACATCCATTATTATCCGTACTCGGCTCAACTCTGACACTACTTTCTCGAGTGTTGTATCTCATCCTTGACGTGCCTCTTTTGTGGAGCATTACCATGTGGAGAAAGACTGGCAACACCATCAACCCCGAAGCGTGAACTTGCTGGCAAGAGCTTGGCATCGTCAAGCAGCAGACGCGAAATATCCATTTCACCACCCATAAAAGGTACAGGGCCCTCGCTAAAATCGAAAGCTTGTGCCGTTCCCAGGCTTTCACTGGCATCCATCCTTTGGTGGACCGGCCATCGAGGGAGATCCTCGCGTGCTGCTGATGTGTTCATCTGTGGTTCCAGTGTCTTGCCCTTGGATGCCTTGAACGAGTTCTCGATGGAAATGCTTACATATGGCTCCATGAGAGCATTTCCTCGTCCCGTCTCTTTGGTTTGGAAGGTACCTTTCTCTATGCGTTGATAAACATCTGCATACTTATTGCGCACCCGGTCTCTCAGATCTGTCGGCTGTCGACTGGAAAGATGGAAGCGTGGGTCCCGTTGAATCTTGGTCCACGCAGGGCCATGGATGTTCAAACCTTCGAGGATTTCCATGTCATCCTGTTCAGTAAAAGGTCGTCGTTCGCGACGGCGAGATTTCTTAAAAGGCCCGTGGATACCAAGCTCCACAAGATCCTCCATCTTCTTGCGATGCGCGCGGCTTTTCTTTTTTTGGGGGGATGTATCATTATCTTGCTGTGAAGTTGAGGCGCCGTCCTTTGCTAGTGCAACATCTTCATCTATCAATATCTTTTCCAGGTGAACATCTGGTTTACCCTGATGTAGCGTCTCTCGACCAGACCATTGTGGCAATTCCGCATTGAGCGCTCTGTTGGATTTGCGAAGCTCGTCGGGACAACAGGTTCTGAATCGATCTTTGAGGTCTCCAGCTGTACGGCCGTTGAACGTAAATTCGGTATCCTCGAGAATACTTGTCCATTTTCCTACCCCATGTCGATTGACACCTAACAGGAGATGATTTGTCTCTTCCTCTGACCATTTCCTTCTTGGCTTGGCAGTCCGCTTCCGTGCCTTGTTAGCATTGAAATCTGACTCGGTTTCTTGAGACGGCTGTGTAAAATCCGGTAGTATCTCTGGCAGTATTTCCGGCAGCACCTTCATCTGAGAACAATCATTATTATCGAATGATTCAGATGAAATTGGTGGGAACAAAGCGGCATGTGGCGGAGGTTCGTGAAGTCCATTAATGATCGGTGGCATGACCGGCGCTTGCTGGTTGGCTTTCTGCTTTTTGAGAGGTTGCGGAAGTTGTACAAAATCATCCTTGACATGAAGGCCGCGGTGTCGTTTCTTGGTCGAAGTGTCGTCAGGAGCCTCATGATCATCATCTAGGATTCGGCCTATCGAACTGGTAGATTCTGCAACTTCCGAATCGCCCGTAGCTACACGAAACGGAAATGCACCGGACGCTGACATGAATTTTCCATCTTGGCCCGCTCCCTCTTTGCGATGGTCAAAAGCAGCATCATCGGTAGAAATTTGTATTGAGCCACCAGCGCTAACAGACTGTGTATCGGGTCCTGCTCTATCACCGCGGTGGTTGGTATCAAGCGGCTCAAGTGGCGGCAAAGATCGATCCGTAGTCGTAGTAAAGGAGAGAGAATGAAGCGGAGGAAGATCAGTATGATTATTCTGCGGCTTCGTCGGCTCGTTGAGCAGATGGATCAAGCGCGGCTCGATTGTGGCCATCATGGGCTCCCGAATATCGGTTGGCACATTGAATATAAACTGACAGCAGCAGTGAAGGATGTACGCTGAAAATGGTGGTGGGGCGAAGAGGGGGTTGTGCAGTTGCCGTTGGCAAGAGATAGAACTTTAGAGCATCATGTTGATTAAGTAGGTATGGACGGGGACTGTTTACAAAGAAAGAGTCGAGGTCAAATGCCTTGGTATGGTCTCACTTGGACAGTCCACACCTCTCTTGCAGTCAGTTGCAGTTGCAATAGCACGTGAAACCGCCACATATTGAAGCTTGTCATTGGCAGGCAGGAGGGTCCATTACTTTCCGCACCTACCTAGGTTACCTGGCATAGGTACTGTACCTCCATGCTAATCTGGGGTACTGCAATAGTTGAGTAACACCAATAGGTATTACCGGTGTTTTCCGGCCGTTCTTCAACAAAAAAAATGGCCTAACGGTGGGCTCCATCATCCATATCAGTACCTTTCACATGCCAAAAAGGAAGGGGGAGGAAAATAGTTACTCAACACTTCTAAGCACATGAAAAAGAAGAGAAAGAAAAAAAAAAGCAAATTATTAGCAACGCTTGCCGTCATCGTATTTGAATTATAAAGTTTTTTATTTTGTTTTAGATACACATATTAGTAGTGTCTCTCATGTGCTGGAATAACATTGTGGAAGTTGGTATCCTAGATATATGGAGATCTATGAGCGCTTTTATTTTATTCTCCCCCCTTTTAATACACGGCATCACGACCATACAAGAGATCGGACGGCTTTATATTATGTTTTCAGAGCATTCAACCCTTGTAGGGGCTAGGGCCCACCATCAACTCGGGCTTGACCAAGGTATCAAACTCCTCCTCAGTCAATGCCTTCAGCTCGAGGGCACTCTCCTTAAGGGTAAGGCCCTTCTTGTGAGCGTTCTTGGCTACCTTACTAGCCATGTCGTATCCAATCTTAGGGTTGAGGCAGGTAACAAGCATAAGACTATAAAATCGATCAGTATTGGTTTTATACTTGTTTGAAGGGAAACTTACGACTCCTTCATGATGCTAGCGATCTTCTCCTCGTTGGCATTGAGGCCGGCAACCAGGTTCTTTTCGAACGAACGCATGCCATCGGTCAGAAGACGGGAACTGTGGAGCAGGTTACGGATGACCAGAGGCTTGTAGACGTTGAGCTCAAACTGGCCGTTCATGCCTCCGATAGTGGTGGCAACGTGGTTGCCCATAACCTGGGCGCACACCATAGTCAAGGCCTCGCACTGAGTGGGGTTGACCTTGCCGGGCATGATGCTGCTACCAGGCTCGTTCTCAGGCAGGTTCAGCTCACCAAGACCACAACGAGGACCGCTACCAAGGTATCGGATGTCTTGAGCGATCTTGGTAAGAGAAGCAGCTAGTGTGTTGAGGGAGCCATGAGCCTGGACAATGGCGTCGTGAGCAGCGAGGGCTTCGAACTTGTTGGGAGCAGTCTTGAACTCAGTGCCAGTCATCTTGGTGACCTCCTCAGCAATGGCCTCAGCGAAGCCCTGGAAAGTGTTGATGCCAGTACCGACGGCGGTTCCTCCCTGAGCGAGGAGTCGCAGGTCGGGCAGCGAGCTCTCGACACGCTTAATGCCAAAGTCAAGCTGAGCAACATAGCCAGAGAACTCCTGAGCGAGAGTAAGAGGAGTGGCGTCCTGAAGGTGAGTGCGACCGATCTTGATGATCTTCTTAGCCTCAAACTCGTCAACCTTCTTCTGGATAGCATCGCGTAGACTGCGGAGAGCAGGGAGGAGCTCGCTCTCGATGTCGAGGACAGCAGCAATATGCATAACAGTAGGGAAGGTGTCGTTGGATGAAGCGCTGCGGTTGACGTGGTCATTGGGGTGGACGGGCTTCTTGCTGCCCATGGTACCACCAAGAATCTCAATGGCGCGGTTGGAGATAACTTCGTTGGCGTTCATGTTTGACTGAGTACCGGAGCCGGTCTGCCAAACGACGAGAGGGAAATGATCGAGAAGCTTGCCATCAGCAACCTCCTGGGCAGCCTGCTGGATAGCAGCGCCGATCTTGGGGTCTGCGAGATGCGGTCGTTAGCCACTTGTATGTTGATCTAAAACTCTCAAGAGCCCATCCACACGGATGATCCAGTAACTCTAGCCAAGACAGTTTTACAGCTTAGGCAGGAATGCGTGTGTAGGTCTGGCTTGCTGCCATGTTCACAGCCCGCACTGGCATAATCCGGATGAAGGAAGCATGTATTCGGGTTGCAACTCACCAAGGCCATATCGCATGTTGACAGTAGCGGCAGCACCCTTCAGAATACCGAACGCCTTGACGATGGGCGGGGGCATGCGGTCCTGAGGCTGGTTGATACGGAAGTTCTCAAGAGATCGCTCCGTCTGGGCTCCCCAGTATCGGTCGGCGGGGACCTGGATCTCGCCAAAGGCATCGCTCTCTGTTCGTGTTTGGGACATTCTGACTGAAGTGCTGTGAATAGCTCGGGAGAGTCGAAGACCAGCGACTGAGGACTTGCTCTGGAGTCGCAGCTGCGGGGCAAGCGAGCATGTGGGCGCTGCTGCTTGGGAGACCCGAGGCAGAGCTGACTTGATAAGACCCGAAGCGGCAGCGCGTCCCGTGACGGTTCGAAGCATGATGGGCAGTTGGGTGGTTGGCGACCAATTGGATCGTCTTGGTTCGATAGAGCTTGTAGGATGGTTGTTCGGGCGTAGGATGCCGGAGACGTCGCACAATTGCACGAAGATTTGAATAGTCGGAGAGAAGACCAACTATGTATTTGTCCCCGCGCCTTCGGCTGTTGGGTTTTAACGGCTCAGCTTTAGCTTGGACTCTGGAAACACAGTTCAAACAGGAAAAAAAGCTCAAACACTGGCCGGTTATTCACCGGACATCCTTAACCGGACAACGATAGGTACTGGCCATGCTCCGGTCCATCCCGACCAATGCTGGAGTTCCATGTCGGTCAGTAGAGCTCTTTCCTATTGGTAGACTATCCACTCGGCCGAAGCTTCTTTCTGGGGATGCGGAATATTCACTTATCAGATCCGTTCTAACCCTGACTTCACCTTCATTTGTTGCTTGGCTAGGACAATACGACAAACATCCAATCATGGCGTCTTCTCTTCCAACCTTTCCACGCATAGTGTTTACGCTCATTGAGCCAATTTCGCTGTAAGGAGCTACAACTTTATAGGGCCCTATGCCTTGAATGTCTTACAATTTACTTACACACAACAGAGTCGTCGGTTTTGTTGGTGCCGTCATTGATCCAGCTTGGTTCATCAATGAGCAAGTACCTCAAAGCAAAGAGTTCGGTGCTTCTGGAAACAGCATCATAGTCACATGGCAGTTAGGGAACCTCTATTTATTGCTGGGGTTTCTTGGTATAGCGATCCTGTCAACGACCAATGAAACCAAGGTCGTCCGGGCATATCTCATTGCTCTGTGGCTAGGAGATGTCGGTCATATTGGTTTTAGTGCTTATGGGCTAGGGTGGGATATGTTGATGAGTCTTGCCAAGTGGAACGCCACGACTTGGGGAAATATTGCAATGACGGTAGGCCACAGGAACAAATTCCGTGCTGCAGGCAGGTTCGATGGTTTACTAAAACTTTGCCAGTTATTTCTCTTCTTCACACGAACAGCCTATCTTACGGGGCTCTTTGGCAAGGACATTGTGACGCCTTTTGCGCCTAAAAAGGATATGTAGTACCTTGGTAGGTACCTGGTTCTTTTTATAATTGGTATCTACATAACAACTCCGTTAATTAGATTGCATGTTGTTGGAAGAAAAGGATGTTGCTATACAATCTGTGATGTTCTCGATATTCACTGCAGTACGCAGTGGCTTTATTATAAAGTACCTACTATAGTACGGATCCATTACATTAGTATACCTAGGTACTGTCTATTTGTACATCCATGTATATAGTAGGTGGGGGCCGTTGAAGTCGCTAACTCATCTCGAAATCCATGGCGATGTCCAAACACCAAACTTAAAGCCTTGATTCTTGGTATCGGGTTAGGGTTAGGGTTAGCGCTTATTGGCCAGTTGTAGATTCAACTACAAACAACGCGTCGCGTCGCGAGGTTCAGGAAGTGTCCCTGACACACCCACCCATATTTGTGAAGACAGACAACCTAAACATCAACACCCACAGCACCGACCTGGTGAAGACACGACATCTGCATCTCAGTGTTGGGGAGATAATATGCGTAGCACTCGAAGTAACGATCCAGCGCCGGCCGCAAGAACAACACGTGAGGACCGTGTTTCCCAGACAAGGCCACCGACATCAATCAAGCAAAATAGAGTATTGCAGACAGATCCAGTCGCCCGTCGTAACGCACCACTTTGGGCTCGAAGAGACTCCAGTATTGCAACCAACCCAGTGAGGCCTGATGATGAAACCGAGTTTTTCGAGGATGAGGACGATAAGAGCCAGCATGAAGAGCCTGAGAACCAGGATGGAGCGGCCAATATACCGAGTGAGGAGTCTGACTATGCTCCGGAATTTGATCCTGAGACTCTGAAGAACCTGAAGATCTTGGAGCAAAGTGTTCCGGATTTGGCCAGGGCCGCTGATAGTTTGTACACGTACTTGCAGCAAGAATCACCCGACGATGAAGTTTTTCAAGGGTGCCTGGATATGAAGAGACGCGCTTTCTACAATTTACGGAACGACTTCAAATCGCTTGGACAACCGTGTGAAGGCGGCTTCGTTGATTTTGCAAGCTTCATAGCGGTAGGCTCTACGCAACAACAAAAGCCTCTCGTCGCTCAGATCGCTCGCGTCAATACGATTATAGCTTACGACGAGATCCATGATGTTGAGGATGGCGAAGCATCGGAAATCTTCACCTTTCTCGAAACGTTCAACCAGACTTTCCCTGATTATTTTATTCTCGATCCCGACATGTTTCAGCATCCGGAAGTCATTTTGGATCTGCGAACATGGTTGGTCTTGGAGGCCATGTCACGCACTGAAGGCGACAGCAATACGAATGAGCTTCTTGTCGAGTTCTTCTGCGATCCCCAGAAAATAGAGGAACTCGACAGTTATGAGGAGCGGAAGAACTATCCGATGCTTCTAGCAGGACAATACTTTCGCGAACTTGGCGCCAGTCACGATGTTAACGCTGATGAGCTCTGCTCAACGCGTATAATGGAAATTGGTCACGCCATCAAGAAGAAAGGGAAAGGCAGGGCAATCGCGCAGCTGACAAAGAAATATCCTCTTGAAAAGCTACTCATCAATCTTCGTGCCGCTCTCGACGCAATGCACAAAGTCTTGACTTACGAAGAAAGCGTGAGAGCTGGCACTCAGCCACCTCACCCTGATCAACAGATTATAGTCGAAAGCCAGAGTGATGTCTTTGATTCCGAGTCCCAATCTATTATTCGCGCAGAAACCGAGGAAGTAGAGTAAGTTGCCATACTCCCAGATGGAGTCAATAACTAACTTGACATCAGGCCCAGTCTCTTTGTGAATAAAAGATCACTTCTCGCTCTAGAACGTGGCATCCGAGAAAGCAGTGCCCTCTCTCCTTTCAATGAACAACTTGTCGAAGCTCGGTCAAGCGTGCCTCGCGACTATCATGAGGATTCGAACGCCGACCTTATGCGTGGCTCGTTCCCTCCTGCAAGTTCTTTCCAAATGGTCTCGAAAGGTGGCAAGGATCAGCATCGAGGACACAAACGACCGCGAGATCTAACAGTAGAAGACGATGACGATGATGCTTTTGAAACTGATGACCGCCGCGTAGATCCAGCGAAACGCGACGATTTGAGACGGAAAATGCCACCACCACCCAGGCCAGAACCAATCTCTCGACCTCCTCCAAGACGTGTCCCCGTTCCTACATCTCCAAGGTCTGTGCATCCTACCATCGTAAGGGAGCCTCTTCAGGAATCGACTCTGCAAGCGGTCGAGCGACCGTCATCCTCCTCCATAGGTCATTTTGAAGCCCTTAAGATAGCAGCATCACAAAGGAGGAGAGAGGCACTTATGGCAGATCCGGAACGACAGGTTTCAAGACAGCGCGTTCCGTGGAGTGACAACGACTCTCTGTTACTCATTGAATGCATTAAAGAATGGGGTGTCCGCTGGTCAACGATTCAATCCCAGGGCCAACATCTTTTTGAGCATCCCCGAAACCAACAGGCCTACCGTGACAGAGCACGCAACATCAAGACTGAGCTTCTCATTCTGGACAGGGTTCTACCCCCAAACTTTAATGACGTGGCTTTGGGGAATAAGGAAATCGTCAAGATCCAGTCTATTGGCAAGAACCCTTATCGAAAGGAGGAGGATATCGATGCAGATGGCAACCCTGTAAATACTGAGCTTAGGTGAATCACACCATCATGCCTTTCGTAATATACAGGAAAGGACTGGACTCTTGAAGTTCGCAGGTCTACTGTTGTGCTCATGTGGCCTTTACTTCAGAAAAAAGACATCAAAGAGAGATACACACTGGAACGCAAATAGCATTTCTGGGTGTTTGTTTAGGGGTAAATCATGTTACAGTGTATTTCTAGGGAAAATAACTAAATAAAAACAACGTCCTCGTACAGTTATAAACCTAGTGTCGCAAACACATATTCTTTGTACATTTCCACGACCTTTTTCCGACTCTGTAGTCTAGAAAAGCCATCGTGTTTCAAGTCATGGTAGGTGGTGTAGGTTACTCTCAGGTCCTCTCAGCCTGCGAGCGAACGCAATGAGTGTACGAGATATGGCAGAATAACCATTAAGAATGAGGGCTCGACGATGTATTCTTAGGTATCTCAGATCACTGACACGAATGTCGCCGTTCAAGAATTCCTTCTTATTGGTGCAGTGGGAAAAGTAAAGGAAAAGTCATAAGCAAATGATTGAAGTTCCGACTTTGGTCGTCCGTTGGTCGAGTAGTCAAAAGGCGTATAATTGGGAGGGTGTCGTGTCTCACAAAAAGGGGTATCAGCCATAAAAGCGAGTTACCGCAATGCCTATGTTCATAGAACAATGCTGCTCTTCGCGAGTTTAGAAAAGAATGCATAGTAACAAGGGGTATGTTGCAGATTATTTGGGAATTTGCAAAGCGAGCAGGTAGTGCCAGCGTGATGAGAAACGATGATCGTAGGTAGGCGTGTTGTGTCCATGTCGCATCAAGCAGAGACATGTTTTCACCCGGGTATGTCTTGAAAGAAACCCAGACAGCGTGCGGCCTGGCTAAGAAGGCAAGACTCAAGCAATGACGTCTTCCACCAATGTTTATCGATGGCGGTAGGGGATGTCCTTCTGCTTGAGGCGGTTTGTTCTCCATCCCTCATACCACTGCTCCCGACTAGCTTCGCGAAGCTCAGCACGCCATTCGCTAAAGACAGCCTCTTTGAGTCGTTGAAAGTCACAGTGTTCTTCGTTGTAGGGATCGGCGAAACCCCACGGGAACTGTCGACCAACGACATCAGGTTCATACAGATCAGGGCTGATGATAGAAAGTGGCAAGAAAGGGATTTCTTCTTCCTTCTCTTTAGTCTCCTCTTGTACTCTGTGTCGACGAATGGAGCTAGTGGACAGTCTCTTGGAGCTTGGTGAAGCTGCTGGGCTTTCTCGCTGGCCTTGTAGCGGAAGATCTTGGCTCTCGGGTGTTTGCGCACCATCGCGCCTGTTCTCGATGTCTTCTTCCTCTTCTTCCTCGGTGATTTTCTCGGAGGAAAAACTGCTACCATCTTCATCATCGAGGCCAAGTGCCTCCAGGGGATCCAGGCCAGATTTCTTGATACTATCCCAAACACTTCGCTTGAGGACATTCATATGTTTAGTGGTAATTGTGTCCGCCTTAGCAATAACAGGGATAACCGTTGTCTTCCCCTGAAGAGTGCGTAGAACTTGCAAGTCCAGGTCTTCGTCCAGACTGCCAGATACACGAGCGCCGAGGTGGCCGTTGTGTTGACCGTTAATGGCTGGGTTTCTTGCTGTTGCGATGTTACGATCTAGGCGAGAAGGGTCGAGAACAAGAAAAGTCGCATGTATATGGGTATCTTGCACACCGGGTGAACGCACAACCTTCATCTCCTCGGCAAAAGTCTCCTCGAACTTGCTCTCGAGAAAGGCCGACATCTCCCTAAGCTGGAGGTCGACGACATTGCTCTCCAGGCCTTCCGAGTCCCAGATAGTGAGGCCGACACGCTCCCCGTCAATCTCAGTCTCGAGGTAGTGAGGGATGAAATTTCCAGAGGGAATGTTGCGGCTCTGGGGTACCTCATCGTCGCCCTTCTTAGCCCGCTTCTTGGGCGGAAGAGCAAGTGCGGTTTTGAGAAATTCAAGGAAAGAGGTTTTGCCAGAGTTACGGGTACCAATGACAAGAATACTGACTATCGTGTTAGTGGATCATAACATTGCAGGCTGACCATAGACACGGAAACTTACTTCATAGGTGTTGGGTCTTTTCTTCTGCGAACGCGACGAGGATTATTGGCCGTGCTGATAGCACTACTGGCATAGCTGTAACGGCCACGGTTCGTCATACTCTCAGTTCTGGCATATGGATCAAATCCACCATTGGGCAACGGCGGAACAGGAGGGCTGGCATGCGCAGCAATGCCATAGCCTCGTGCATGTTCAGCTGAGGGCCGGTATGAGTATTCCGCCGATCGAGGAACATTGGCTGGCGATTCGGGGCGCAACTCGGGGCCAAAAGAATTGGAAAGCTGTTCGGAATGATTGGCGAATTCTGGCAGTTTGGGAGCGATGCGAGTAGAGGCCTGGCGCTGGCGTTCAAGCTCGGCTTCTCTAAGGGCCTGCGCCTTACGGCCGCCTTTGCCTAGATCACCACTTTTACTGCGTCGAAGCAACATGCCGAAACTGGTACGGCGAGGCTGCTCGTTGTTCATCCTCTGGGAAGAAGATCATGAAAAGGAAGAGAGTCGCGATCAGGAGATGACAACCAGGAGGGTATGAACGGACGGCGCGAATGAGGTGCGGAGCACGTGGAAGCGGCGGGGGACTAAGACGGAAGGATGGGGCAACTACCAAATGGACGAGTGCAAGTGAAGTCGAGAACAAATGGAAGAAGCTTGGGGGTGGATGAGCGGGAACGATCGAGAAAGTGGGAGGGTGGGCGTACGATTGTCGGCGTTGTTCGATAGTTCGAGTATTACCAAAGCGTTTTTGGCAGCTAGGACAGTTGCAGGTAGGTAATTTGAAAGACAACGAAACAGAGCCCTGTTCGTCTGAACGAGTTTCTGTCAGCGACAGATGATTCAAAGAATTGGGGAGCAGTACGTGTACAGACCAGTGCGTATGTACCTTACGTAGAACAGGATGAAGCGCAATCATAAGAATCAACACTCAAAGCGAGTGGCCTCGTCTCGTGCACACACCTTGTGTGGAGAGCCGCCCAGTGTCGGTAGTGGATGTTTGAGATCGGTGGAGAGTCGGGCGTCAGTCAAGGCGTCCGTTTAGAGTAGCTTCTAATTTGCAAAAGGAGGAATGAGTCGTGCTGGGTTTGCCTGGCTTGGCCCTGGCCTGTTTTATTTGCTTGAGATCCAAGGAACAGGATTGATGCGTCTCTGCAATGGATAACGGGCAAGAACCAGAAATGAGAGACACTTTCCAGGGAATTAAGGTGGTTTCGAGTGGGAAGGGGTATTTGATTGGCTACGAGTAAAGTGGTGGAAGAACGAAAGCGGCACTGATGGGAGTTGAGATTAAGACCTAGCATGGGTGAACAAGCATTGGCCGACCTCTAAGGTACAAGATGTCACCAAGAGCCAGCAACGGACCATATACGAAAAAAAGAGGAAGAAGAAGAAGAAGAAGAAAGTGCTTTGACTCTGAGGAATAAACAGGCGGCCATATCTCTGTTTACTGAGCGGGACCTATCAAAGAAATGAAGTTTGAGTATAGGATAAGTACAGCCAACCATCCGGTGTGGAGGTGATATCCAGTGCGAAACATTTTCATATTCCATCAAAACAATTGCGTCTGGATCCGTAGGTAGGTATGCTTGTAGTTGTTTTAGGTTTCATTAATTACCGCGAGGGTACAGCAGTGCCTTAACATCAATCATGCGATAAGACCTGATCTAAAATATTTTCCTAGCGGCAGCATTTTTTTGCTTTTCAATGTTTTCAATAGATCTACAGTACCTAATCACGCACGCATCACAATGATAGTAGCTGGAGCTGGAGCTGAAGCATTGAGTGCTCATGGATGTCTTGCGCACTTTGACTCTCCCTGACACAGTTCCGGATGCGGGCGGGACCCTTCAAAATGATTCGCTAGGTGCTCCGTACCCACCTAACGTTAGATTGTTTTTCTGCAGCGCTAACGTAATGTCCGGCCAGGGTCCAAGACAATCTGACTGGGTGGGGTCAGGGGAATCAGGGGCGAGGGAAGCGAGCCCGAATCGTGGATGGGTTGGATGGAACCAGCCCGGGCCCGGAAACCTAGCCTCCACTACCACAGAGAAAGGGACCAACTCCGCTTATATGTAGGTACGCTTATATTACTAATACATACTATCCATAAGGTACCTGGTAGCCGGCGGTTAATTGCATTATGCAACAGTCGTAATTTGAGGTCAGGCTCGGCGATAAAGTCTTCTTTGGCCAGTATCCCCCCCGAGTTCCTATAGTATAGTACTTACGACCGTTGATCAACACCCGTCCCTGAACTGTCTGTGTAGTAAGTAGCCCGACTGATAAGTGGAGTGATTGGATGGCCCCTCTAAATCAACATGTACATTACAATTGGTTCAGCATGGATGGATACAGATCAAAAGGTCCCTGAGTTTATGTGCATGTGGGCACTGCTGCAGAATACAGTGAATGAAATGAAAGCCCAGTCGTTGACAACGTGGTTTGCAAACTACTAAGTAATCTAAGCAATATATCCCATCTATCATAGGCCACATCTATTTGCCTACCTATGTACCCCAAGCTACTAGATCTCAACCTACTAAAGTATCAAGGTACCAAAGTAATAAGTGTTTGGTTTTATGTATCTGTACAGGACGAGCATCCAGCAGACTACGGATAGCACCCATCAGCCCTCCAGGGCTGTATCGAACAAATCGACCCACTGATGCAGGTACATCGCTGTCAGTTCTAAACTGCCGCGCCACCCGTTCCATTTCCCAACTCAAAGATAAGTCCAATGTGCATCCACAATAAAATAACTCTCATCTTTGCCAAAATGTCGTGGGCCTCGTAAGAAAGTCAGGTATCAAAAACGCATTCAATTATGAGGGAAAGCCAAACCTGCTAAATTGTGTGCAGAATTAAAATGCAACAATTTTTGATTACAAGCGTTCTGGCGCATGTAGCCAAAGAAACACAAGGCTCACTACGCTAGCTTGCTTTCAGATAGATTTCCGATATACTTGAGCTTGGCGAGCTCCATTATTGACAGGATCGAAACTGGGACGCGGTCACATGACTAGCGGATAACTTAGTACTGCTAATATCAATATCTCGGTCACGCAATCAGTACAGACTATAGCACAGAATCACATAAGTGCATCAAATGACCGGAGCATACTATGAATGTAGGGTTATTTGGTGTTTGAGCATTTTCCATGCTATGCATTGACTGTTTTGACTAGGGTCGATCGTTACACACATTGATCTACCGTTCACATTCTGCTCACCATGTACGTTGATTGTCAAAGCTTCGAATATGACCATAATTTATAGTATGATAACTGCCACGCTATGGCCAGTATATGGTCAGTTGAGGGCAGAGTTCGGGTCAGATTGAAAACTGCTCCGTGCGACTTAGTTACGAGGTCATAATGGCAACGGGTAGCAGCCGCTCCGTCACGTCTAGGCACGGGACAATAGTTACTAGCCTCTACGCTTTAGTATGTCCAACTCATAAGCTGGTGTTTTTTTTTTTTTTTTT